ATGTGGCTATAACATCTGCACTAAGCAATTTTTTCTTTTTTTTTTTTTATGGTGCTGGGGATGAACCCCAAGGCCACCTGTGAGCACTATATTAACGAGCTGCACGTCCAGCTAATACCATTATTATTAAAAAGAAGCAAAGCAAACACTCCCTGTCCCCCACCATCTAGGGTGGACTGGAGCCCAGGTGCATGTCAGCAAAACCTCAAGACTCACTGCAGGGGTGGACATTTCCCCTGCCTCTGAGGAGAGAAGATCACGGGACTTGGAGACACAGGGCCCTCCCATATTTTGTGACCCTCGGAAAGGATGAGGATGAGTGGACGTTCGGGATCTCCAGGAATTCTCTTGAATGCTCTCATATGCCAATGTCTGATTTCTCCCCAAATTGTACAACAGCCACTTTCCCTTTCTTTCTGTTCCTAGCAAGAAAGTTAATCTGGTTTTTAAAACAGGAACTTTTTTGTGTGCATGCCAAGTATGGAACCTCAGGCCTCATGAAACCTAGATACATGTTCCACCACTACGCAACACCCCAACCCTATTTCCCATTTAAAATTCCAAATGGGAATTGTGGTGGGGTTTTTTTTGGGGGGTGGGGGTAGCACCTCGTACTTGCAAGGCAGGTGGTCTGTGCTCAAGCCATGCCCCCAGCCTTTCTGCTTTAGTTATTTTCAAATCGGGTCTCAGGTTTATGCCTGGCCAGCTTGGAACACAGGCCTCCTATTTACATTTCCTGCATAGCCGAAATGACAGGTATGAGCCACTGCACCCAGTGAACTTTTCCCTCACTGGCCTCAAAGTATGAACCTCCTGGTCTCTGCCTCCCAAATAACTGGGATTACAGGATTGAACCACAGTGCCTGAATATTTTTTGGGTTTTCTGTTTTTTGGATTTTTAAAAACAAAAAAGCAGGCTCTTGCTCTGAAGCCTAGGCTAGGCTCTACCTCAAGACCCCCGCCTCAGCCTCCCAAGTGCTGAGATCATAGATGGGTGCCACTATACCCCACACCCAGCTAAAGAGAACTTTTTGCTTTCTGCTTCCAAGTTCCACATCAGAAGCCTGGCCCCTGCTTTGCTTTCTGAGGGTTCCCTGATGAGAGCCACCATGTTTTTTTTAGTTTGTTTGGTTTTGTTTTTGCAATGCTCAAACCCAGGACCTCACAGCTTCTAAGCAAGTGCTCTACCACCTAGCTCCATCACCTGCCACCTTGCAGGAGGTGGCAGTTTGGGACCACAACATCAAGCTACCTGTAGGGTCCTAGTCACTAGTGTGGGAAATCCTCAATCCAACATCTTAATAACTCTCTCTCTTTTCTCTCTTTCTCTCTCTCTGTCCTCTCTTCAGTACTGGGATTTGAACTCGGGGCTTTGTGTTTGCAAAGCTGATGCTTACCGCTTGAACCACACCTTCAGTCCATTTTGCTCTGGTTATTTTGGAGATGGGGGTCTCACAAATTATTTGCCTGGGGCTAACCTCAAACCTTGATCTTCCCTATCTCAGCCTCCTATCTCTGCTAAGATTACAAGTGTGAGCCACTGGCTGCCATCTAACGATTCTCCCAGCACTCACCATAGTTAGTTAATAGGATAAAACTCTTACAGTGATGGTTTGGGGGCCACCACCAATACCTCCTTACTGTACTGAATTCTGTTTTCATACAAAACTGGCAAAAAAAATAATGTCCTGCTTCACAGTACAGCTTCCCAGGATCAGGCAGACAGGTAGCCACAAAAAAATGTAGTGTCCCTAGCTCTGGGTTCCTGGCTCTCGAGGGACTGCCCGCCACTTTCCAGATCTATGTGCAGAACCATTGTTGGGGACAGAGGACCATGCTCTTACTGTCCACCTCCAGTTCTTCTTGTCCCCAGCACCACTCATCTGCTACACGCTCAGCTTGGTTTACTCACACTGGTGTTTGAAATCAGGGCCTGATGTTATTTTTCAGGTAGGGTTTCTCATTTTTGCCTGGGCAGGCTTGGACTTCAATCCTACTACCTACAGCCTCCCATGTGCCTGAGATCACAGGCACATCACCATGCCAGGCTTGTTTGCTCAGATGGGTGTCAAAACCTTTTTCCCTGGCTGGTCTTAATCTACTGTCTTCCTGATCTCTGCCTCCTCAGTAGCTGGGATTATAGACATGCAAATTTTTTTTGAGATAGGGTCTGGCTATATTGGCTAATCTGAAACTTCTGGGCTCAAGAAATCCTCCTGCCTCAGCCTACTGAGTGGCTGGGACTACAAGCAAGCACCCCCACACACACACCTCCAGGCAGAAGTCAGTAAAATTTTAACATCCCTAACTCCTGCTTTAAAAAAAAAAAATCACAGCTGATTTCTGGAAACGACTTTGCTAAGCAGAATAACAAAATTGCCTATTAGTGTTCCTGTAATTTCAATCAAGTCAAATTAAGATTTGTTGCCAGGTATGGTAGCTTGTGCCTGTAATTCCAGCACTCAGGAAGATGTAGAGTTTAAGGGTAGTGCTGGGCCCAGGTAGCTCACACCAGTAATCCTACTCAGTTTGAAGTCAGCCCTGAGGCAAGTAGTTTAGGAGACCCTATCTCGAAAATAACCAACACAAAAACAGGGCTGGCAGAGTGGCTCAAGTGGTAGAGTGCCCTCTAGCAAGCGTGAGTCCCTGAGTTCAAACCCCAGTACTGCCAAAAAAAAAAAAAGAAAAGAAAAGAAACTAAAACAAAATCAAGCTGTGAGTGGTAACACATACCTGTAATTACAGCTACTCAGGAGGCTGGGGCTAGAAGACTACAAATTTGAGCCCAGCCTAGGCAAAGTCAGTGGAGACCCTGTCATAAAAACAAAAGGGCTGGTGGCGTGGTTCAAGTGGTAGAGCAATTAGCAATTCCTTGACATGCTCCCAACCCTGGGTTCAATTCCCAGTGCTAAAAACAAAAAATGAAAGTTTGGGGTTTGAGGTCTTCTTCCTTTATAACTCCACTACAATCTCAAGGCTTCCCTGTCCCACACCTAACACTGCCTACGGTGCCTGCCTTCACTTGTGAGTCCATGATTTTGCAGTCTCTCTCTCTCTCTCTCTCTCTCTCTCTCTCTCTCTCTCTCTCTCTCTCTCTCTCTCATCCAGATTGACCTTAAACTTTTTTGTGGTGGACATTTTTTAAGATGGGGTCTCACCAGTTATGTTCCCAGGCTGGCTTCAAATCACAATGTTCCTGATCTCTGCCTCCCCACTAGCTAGGATTACAGGCCTTGTTTTGTTTTTGCTTTTGCTGTTGTTTGTGGTGCTAGGAATTGAACCCAGGGCCTTGCACATGGAATTCGGGGATTTTTTTTTTTGTTGTTGTTGTTGTTTTTTTTTTGCTTTGCTTTCTTGTTTCTGGTTTTTGGTTGGTTGGTTGGTTGGTTGGGGTTTTTTTTATTTTGTTTGTTTTGCTTTGTTTAAGACAATGTCATGGTATGTAGCACAGACTGGCCTTGAATTCATGTTCCTCCTGCCTTTATCTCCCATGTGCTGGGATTACAGTTGGGTACCACCACACCTGGCCCCCAAATTGATTTTTTATGGGAAGCATATTACAAGTAAATACAAAATGGCTTGCTTAAAAAAAATGCATGCATGCATACCTACAAACACAGAGTGAGGAGGGGGAGGTCCATCCAAAAAGTGGGGAGGTCACCCTGGCTTACACCATCTGCCTCAGAGTTTATTCTGGTTTATTGTGTGAGCGAGGGGTCTAATTCAAATTTTTCCCAATTAATGACTCAGGGTTTCTCAGCCTCTGTCCTACTCACCTTGGAGGCTGGTTCATTCTCTGCAGTGAGGGTGTCCTGCACACTGGAGGACGTCCACAGCAGTCTGCCTCCACTCACTGGACACACACACACACACACACACACACACAGAGGGATGTCTCCAGACATTGCCAAATGTCCCAGGAGGGCAGATACCCCCCACCACCACTAAGAATCACTGCTCAAGCCTCCCAACATGGCTTCCCAAAACTGTCCTAGCCCCCAGTCTTACAGTGGGTGGGCCCTGAGGCAGCAAAGAAAGAGTTCCTGGGAGCCACAACCCGAGGCTGCCAGGGGAGGGTGGCCACAGGAGGGGAGGTCTGACCTTCACATAAGGGGCAGCCCAGGAAGTCCTATCTAAGCCCTGATAATAAGTGAAATTGTAATAGAGACAATGTATTGTTGACTCCTACAGGAGGGTCATCGCCAAACTAGGCCATTCCACTGCCCCTCCCAGCATGGAGGGGTAGGAGGACTGGGGAGGGTGGCTTCACTACCTCATCTAGCAGATGGGAAAACTCAGAGAAATTGCCTGAGCCAGGCTATAGAGCTAAGAAATGGGGGCTGGGACTGTGGCTCAATGGTAGAGCCCTTGCCTAACATGCATGGGGCCCTGGGTTGGACACCCAGAACTTAACATTTTAAAATTTCAAAGAAATGTGGAGGTCTTGGAGAAAAGGGTCTCCGAGAGCCAGTCGCCTACCCCCACCCCAAAGAAATACTCACATCGCTACTGCGAAGTCCCGCCCTACACACACACACACACACACACACACACACTCTGGTCCCCACTATGGGCCCTGCAGCCATAACAAGGGCTCTGGCAAGAAAGGTCTGAATAGGAGGAGAAGGAAGGCTGCGGGCAGAGAAACTGAGGCAGGGCTCGGAGGGAAGGAGAGCCTGCGGATTTCCCAGGTCCTTGTTTACAAGATGCTGGACTCCCCACGCCCAAATCCGGTGACACCCAGCTGGGGCGGGGGACATTGACCCGGTGGTACCCCGCGGCTGGCGTGGGGTCACACGGCGGGGGGGATCCCCAGCGCTCTTCAAGCTGTGTCCCTCGGGGGTCCCAGAGGCCGCTTGGGAGGGAGATCCTTGAACCCCCTTCCAACCCCCCCCCCGTCCTGGGGCGGGACCAGGGGCGGAGCGGGCGGGTGACCGGTGGTGACGCGGGCCCCGCCCGCTCATATAGAGGCTCCCGGGGGCGCAGGGACAGAGCGCCGCCGCATCTGTCACCCGCGCCACCGCCGCCTCTGCTCCCAGCGTCCGCGCCACCGTCGCCGCGTCCACCAGCGCACCACCATCATGCGGGAGATCGTGCACCTGCAAGCTGGCCAGTGCGGCAACCAGATCGGAGCCAAGGTGCGCGGGGGATCCCGGCCCGGGGAGCAGAGCGGGGGTCCTCGGCTTCCGGGGCTCCCCAACCTGGAAGCCAGCGCCCCAGCCAGGGACGGTGGGGGAGGGGCGTCGGGGCAGGGCCAAGCTGGGAACAAAGAGGCCGGTGATGGGCATAGGGCCCAGCCTTCTGTCCGCTGGCCACAGCTGGCTTCACAGCTGGCCGACTGTCCTCTCTGCGCGCACAAAGAGACGCCACCCCTCCCCCAGGCTGCAGCAGGGGTGTGCTGGCACCAGCTTGCTCCGTCTCGGGGTGCTGACTGCCGCACCCCACCCCCATCTCTTCCTTCTTGCTGCCTCATCCTTGCCATCCCGCTGGGTCCCCCTGTCACCTCGCTGGGAAAAAGGAAGCAGCTAGGGAGCACTGGGAGGAGAGGGGGAGAGGGACCCTGGGCCTGGCCACCTGGCTCCCCTCTCTCAACCTTCCCCACCACCATCCTCTAGTTTTGGGAGGTGATCAGTGACGAACATGGCATTGACCCCACGGGCACATACCATGGGGACAGTGACCTTCAGCTGGAGAGGATCAACGTCTACTACAACGAGGCCACAGGTAGGGCAGAGTGGGGCACCGGCTGGTGTGGAGGTGTGGACCGGCTGGAGGGGGACGGGATGCTCCTCCTGGGTTCCTGGCCTCACCCCAACTGCTTTCCATCTGTTTCCCTGCAGGGGGAAATTATGTTCCCAGAGCAGTGCTGGTGGACCTGGAGCCTGGCACCATGGACTCTGTGCGCTCTGGACCCTTTGGGCAGATCTTTCGGCCTGACAACTTTGTGTTTGGTGAGAGCCGAGCATGGAGCACAGGAAGGGAACCCCTTGTTCTTTTCCCTTCCAGATTCCTAATGAAAATCCTCTGTCTAGCACCAAAGAGCCACCAGTGACCACAGAATCACAGAGTAGACAGGCCAGTGAAGGATGTGATAGGGATGATCAGGTCATTGTGGTAGCCCTGGGGAGCCATCCAATACAGCACAGGGGTTCCAGGACCTTCTGCGTGTGAGCCAAGCACTCACCACTGAGCTACACCCAGCTCTGAAGTGGTATTTTAATCCAACCATTTGATTATAACAGACTGCCTGGGTTCAAGTCCCATGTTGACCACTTCATACATTCAACAGACAGTGAGCACCAACTGTATACCAGGCCTACACTAGAAGCTGGGGTTGCAGCATAGAGTAAAACAGAGCTATCTGTGCTCCCCCACTCCCCCTGACATCCCCATGGAGCTGACATCCCTGTGGAGAGAGACTCCAGAGAAGGAGATCAGTAAGTAAAACTCAACTATGGGTCCCACCAGCTGGCTGGCTTTGGACAGGCTCCATGACATTTCTAAGCCTGAGCCTCTGGGACTTCAAAACAGGGATTATAACATAGCCACTCTTCAGGACTCTGAGGCTGATAGTCCCACTACCTGTAAAGCACTTAGGACTATATCGGGGAGGGAAAGGTAAATAAGTGTCTGTTTGTGTCACTACTGTTAATTCTTTTCCTTATCTTTTGTTTGTTTTCTTTTTGCTTTTGGAGACAAGAGTCTGGCTGTGTAGCCCAGGCTGGCCTCTGATTCTTGGTCCTCCTGTCTTTGCCTCCCAAGTGCTGGGATTACAGGTGTGTACCACCACACCCAGCTTCATTATCATTATCAACACCTGCCACCTAAAAGATGAGTCAGTTTTTGGTGGATTTCATTACAATATTTTCAAGGTTTGGAATATTTTTGAACTTAGAGTGACATAATATAAGTTGCAGAAATTATAATTTCTTGACAAAGCTTAAGAATTAGAAAAATAAATTTTGACACTTTTCCAGTTATTAAGAGGACAAAAATATTATTACATTCAGAAGAAAAGGTTTATGGGAAAAAATAAAAGGGAACGACCTAGGAACACAGGGGGAATGGCATATAGGAAGGAGGGGGCATATTTTTGGCCATTAGACTAACAGGATGTTCATGCCCTGCAGTGGTCTCTCCAGGGGACTCTTGCCTGGGACAGGCTAGGTGCAGTCCCCTACCCAGGCCTCTGGCCCCAAGTTCTGCCCTTTCCCCAGCACCCCATTATTCCTTCTCCTCCCACCATGGTGGTTTACAGTCTGGAGTTTAGGGAAAAATGGGATAAGCTCTGTGACCTTGGAGACATGACTTCCTCTCTCTGATCTATACTGAGATGCTGAAAGATAAGGATGCACCCATTAGTGCATAACCAATAACAGGTCCTCCAGAATTGGCTGTGGAAAGACACACCAATGAGGCTGCCAAAGGATATGAGTCACTGTAGAATGACCTGGGTGGCTCACAGTTGGGCCAAAAGATCTTATGGGAAGCAGAGGAAGGAGGAGGGACATGGGGTAAAAGTATACGACTCAGGAACCAGGACACCAGTGACCCCACCGGCTTGCTGTGTGACTTTCTGCACACGACCTACCCTTTCTGTGAATCTGTTTTCTCAAATGTAAAATGGAAGAAAAGAGTATTCAGGACCTCAGAGAACTGGGGGAAAGATTCAGAGATATAGGGCATGCTTACATTTAGTGCCTACTGTATGATAGACATAAGCAAGACAAAGACCTTTATCTGCAGGACATTACCTTCCAGCAGGGGAAACACACACTGCAGAAAAAAAACAAATTAAAAAAAAAATCAGACACTGGTGGTTCAAGCCTGTAATCCTAGCTACTCAGCAGGCAGAGATCAGGATGATTAAAGTTTGAAGCCAGCCCGGAAAAATAGTTTTCGAGACCCTATCTGGAAAACACCCATCACAAAAAAGGGTTGGTGGAGTGACTCAAGGTGTAGGCCCTAAGTTCAAGCCCCAGTCTGAAAAAAAAAAATGTTAACATGTATAAAGTTGAGTTGTGACAGGTGTTAGAAAGAAAAATAAAACAGGGTAAAGGCATAGAGAATGAGGAGTAGGGTCCATCATAGATCAGGAGTAGGAATTGGCAGAGATGGCTTTTCCAAGGAGATAACACTGAGCAGAGACCTGAAAGAGGTGAGAGAGGAGCCATGTGAATACCTGAGGAAAAAGAATTCTAGGCAGCCAGTCTGGTCAGTGCAAAGGCCCTGAGGCAGCAATGAGCCTGGTAAGGAAGCAAGAGAGAGGGAGGAGGGAGGCAGGGAGGGCACAGGGCAGGTCGGGGAGGGCACAGGGCAGGTCGGGGAGGGCACAGGGCAAGTCGTGCAGGGCCCTGTGGGATGCAGGGAGGACTTGGGCTTTGGCCCTGAGGGAGATGGGAGCCATAGAGGGCTGTGGGCAGGGGAGGGAGGGGCTGACTTGGTGCTCACTGGCTCACTCTGGCCACAGCAGGAAGCAGCCAGGGATGCTGGCAGGTGACCTCAGATCAGGGTAGAGGCAACTTCTCTGACTGGTGGGCAATGATGGACCACACCAGTGGAGGGCGCAAGAAGTCTGTTACCAGCCAGCATTCTCACCTAGGCCTGGTCCTTCACTGTGAGAGTACAGATAAGCACCAAAAACCAGGAAATGGGTTTGGTAGCCCCGCAGAGAGAAATACAGCAGTGAATAGGAATTAGAATTGGAAAGGGGGCAGGCAGGCAGGCGATAATCCCAGCAGTGGGGAGACTGAGGCAGGAGGATCTTGAGTTTGAGCCCAGCCTGAGCTACATAGTGTGACCTCATCTCAAAAAGTAAAAAGTGAGAAGGGGTGGCAATCATGACAGAGTAATTAGGGAAAGCCTCACTGAGCCTGATGGAGTTGAGGAGGGACTTTGGGAAGACCCAGGGAAACAACATGTCAGGCAGAGGGCACAGTGCATGCAAAGGCCCTGGGGCAGGACCACCCAGCCTGTTGTGTGTGGCTGAAGCAGAGGGATTGAGAGGGTGACAGGGACAGGGAAGGCAGGGAGGGTGGGGCAGGTCTTCCAGGGCCCTGTGGGCTGCAGGAAGGACTTGGGCTATTAGAGATAGGAGTCTGGGTGATTTTTAGCTACGATAGAACATGATTTGATTTTAATTTTACAATCTCATGGCTGCTGGGTAAAAGCTGGAAGACTGGAAGCTGTTAGGAAAATTATAGTAATTATTAGCAAATGATTAACAGTAGCTGTTAATTATTAGTATATTATTAATAATATTATTTGTGACAATATTAGTAGGAGAGTGATTGCACAATTAGGTGACTGTAGACAACAACATACCGTAGACTTCAAAGGCTAGAAGAAAGAATTGGTATTTTCACCATAAAGAACTGGAAGATTTTTGAGAAGAGAGAGTTTTTTTTTATTAGCATAGAATAGTTGTACAAGAGGGTACATTGTGACATTTACACATGTGCTTGCAATGATCTTAATCAGATTCACCCCCATCTTTCTCCCTCGCCCCCCACTCCCCCTTTAGAACAATTTCAACAGTTTTCACTCTTCTATTTTCGTATATGGATACAAAGTGCATCCACCACATTCACCCTCCTTCACCCTCTTCATTTACCCTCCCCTCTCCCACTGGTACCACCCCTGAACAGGACCCATTTTACCTTTTTTTTTTTTTAATTTTTTTTGGTGGCACTGGGGTTTGAACTCAGGGCCTCATGCTTGCTAACCAGGCACTCTACCACTTGAGCCACTCCACCCTTTTACAATGGTTTTGTTGGTTTTTTTGTTTTGTTTTGAGATAGGATCTCACAAACTATCCACTGAGCTGGCTTTGAAGCTCAATCCTCCTGATCTCTGCCTCCTGAGTAGCTAGGGTTATAGGTGTGAGCCTCCCGCACCAGGCTAGTTCTTCATTTTTTTTAAGTGAATACTGACAGTCCAAGGGGCTTCCGCCTTGGCAGTTCAAACATGTGAATATGGTATGGTAATCAAATTAGCATCCCCTATGACTCTTTACCAGTGTAAGCGAGACATGCACAAGTGTGGGAACATCACATGGCACCCTGTTAATGTGCACAAGTTCTACGCTGTTTCTATTTGGTTTCGTTTTTCTGGGTTTTTTGTTTGTTTGGGGGTGTTTGTTTTTTGCGGTGCCAGGGCTTGAACTCAGGGCCTACACCTTGAGCTACTCTACCAGCCCTTTTTTGTGACAGGTTTTTTCAAGATAGGATCTCAAGAACTATTTGCTCACTGGCTTTGAACCTCCATCCTCCTGATCTCTGCCTCCTGAGTAGCTAGGATTACAGAGTGAGCCACAGGTGCCCGGCTGTTTTTGCTTTTTTTTTTTTGCAGTGCCAGGAATTGAACCCTGGGCTTTGCACATGCTACACAAGCACTCTTCTACTAAGCCACACCCCCAGCCCAATTTATATGTCATTTATGTATCCGTTAAAACGTAAATTTGAGACTGGGGGTGGAATTCAGTGGTAGCATATGTGTGCTCCATCCCCAGCAACCCACTACTATACATCAAATTAAACAGCAGTAGTAAGAATGTTAGTTACTAATCTTTTATTGTCATTTTGTGTCAGAGAAGAGTTCTTTGGGGGGTGGAACCCAGAGCCTTGTGCACACTACATCCCTGTCTCGCTTGTTTTTGCTTTTGGCAGTACTGGGGTTTGAACTCAGGACCTCCCACTTGCTCTGCGGGACCTTTACCACTTGAGTCACACCTCCCGTTCTTTTCTGCTTTAGTTATTTTTCAGACAGTGTCTTGCATTTTTGCCTTAGGCCCAGCTTGGACATCGATCCTATCTACTCCTCCTTCATAACTGAGATCACGAAGTACCGAGCCCAACTTGCAATGGGTGGGGGGGGGGAGTTTCTGGAACTGTTGGCCTGGGTTGGCCTCGAATCTCAATCCTCCAGATCTTCGCCTCCCAAGTAGCTGGGAGGTGTACCACCTCCATGCTTGGCCTATGAATTTGCTTTTACTATTCTTATTCAACTGTGAGAAGCCCTCCGGTGGCTAGGCGGCAGGGTGGAGAGTAGGGACCCCCATCCATGCCTGCGTGTCCCCGTTCTCTTCCCTCCCCAGGCCAATCCGGAGCTGGCAACAACTGGGCCAAGGGCCACTACACGGAGGGCGCAGAGCTGGTGGACGCGGTGCTGGACGTGGTGCGCAAGGAGGCGGAGAGCTGCGACTGCCTTCAGGGCTTCCAGCTGACGCACTCGCTGGGCGGCGGCACGGGCTCGGGCATGGGCACCCTGCTCATCAGCAAGATCCGCGAGGAATTCCCGGACAGGATCATGAACACCTTCAGCGTGGTGCCCTCGCCCAAGGTGTCGGACACCGTGGTGGAGCCCTACAACGCCACCCTCTCTGTGCACCAGCTGGTGGAGAACACGGACGAGACCTACTGCATCGACAACGAGGCCCTGTACGACATCTGCTTCCGCACCCTGAAGCTGACCACGCCCACCTACGGGGACCTCAACCACCTGGTGTCGGCCACCATGAGCGGGGTCACCACCTGCCTGCGCTTCCCGGGCCAGCTGAACGCGGACCTGCGCAAGCTGGCGGTGAACATGGTGCCCTTCCCGCGCCTGCACTTCTTCATGCCCGGCTTCGCGCCCCTGACCAGCAGGGGCAGCCAGCAGTACCGCGCCCTGACGGTGCCCGAGCTCACCCAGCAGATGTTCGACGCCAAGAACATGATGGCCGCCTGCGACCCCCGCCACGGCCGCTACCTGACGGTGGCCGCCGTGTTCCGGGGCCGCATGTCCATGAAGGAGGTGGACGAGCAGATGCTGGCCGTGCAGAGCAAGAACAGCAGCTACTTCGTGGAGTGGATCCCCAATAATGTCAAGACCGCCGTATGCGACATCCCACCCCGTGGCCTCAAGATGGCAGCCACCTTCATCGGCAACAGCACGGCCATCCAGGAGCTGTTCAAGCGCATCTCCGAGCAGTTCACTGCCATGTTCCGGCGCAAGGCCTTCCTGCACTGGTACACCGGCGAGGGCATGGACGAGATGGAGTTCACCGAGGCCGAGAGCAACATGAACGACCTGGTGTCCGAGTACCAGCAGTACCAGGACGCCACTGCTGAGGAGGGCGAGTTCGAGGAGGAGGCAGAGGAAGAGGTGGCCTGACCCGGCCTCTGCGCCCTGCTGTCCCGCTCTGAGCAAGGCTTTGACCCTGAGGCTCCCTGTCTCCCAGCCTGACTCACCTCTGACCCTAGGAAACCCCCCTCCAGGACCCCAAGAACAGCACTTTGTCCCGAGCCCAACAATGCCTCCCCACCCGCACCACCTCTAACAACTTTATCTCTGACCCTGGCCCACCTTTGACCCTTGACCCCACATCATCTCCAACCTGTCTGGAACTCTTCCAACCTTGACACCTGCCTGAGAACCCTGCTTTCAATTCTATGAGTCCTGGGACCCTTCACCTTTGGCACCACTCCCCCACCACCACCAAAAAAAAAATCCCATTACAACTCTAGAGCTAAAAACTTGGTTTACTCTTTTGGTTTCTGGTGGTGCTCCCCACCGAGCTGCACCCCAGATCCCTGCTTTACTTATCCCCCTCTGTTTCTCAGAGCTTCCTTTCACCTCTGATATTCCAGCTCCCCTCTGATCCCACCCTCTCTCTGTCTCTCATAAAGCCCCAATTTCCTCCCTTCCCTCGCTCTCTGGACACCCTCCTACCTTGGCTTTCTCAGAGAGCCCTGTCCCAGGAAGAGAAAAAGGCCTGGAGCCTCAGAATAGAGGTTGTCCTTGCCACCCACCCCACCCTGCTGTCCTCAGACTCATCCCCATCAATAAATTAATTGTTGCCCTGGCATGTTTCCATAGAATTTTTGTTTTCTTTTTTGAAACAAGGTCTCACTATGTAGCCCAGGCTGGCCTAGAACTCACAATCTTCCTGCCTCCACTTCCCAAGGGCTGGGATTACAGACATGCACCACTACCACATTTAGTTGCAGAGTTCATGTTCATCTCTATAAGCAGCAATTGAGGGCTCCCTACAGGGTGGAGGTGGGCTTCCAAGGGTCTAATCTAATCCCATTGGGGGAAGGGTAGAGATTTTAGACAGATCAAGTCATTCCACTCAGTGACCTGATGGTGAGAATAAGCCATTCCCACACTCTGACTTGCGCCCCCCACACCCTGTCCTTCCTGTGTGACTGTTTGGGACTGTTGTCTGTGTTGGTGACTTCCTGTGTGAGTGTATGCGTATGTGTGTGTTGCCTGTATACCACAGTGCCTGTGTCCTGATTCTCTCTGTTTCTGTCCCCCTCCTGGCTCCCCCCCTCTCTGGGTGGGCTCTCACTGGTGGTCCTGCAGTGTACCACCTGGTGGGAATGGACCAGAGCAAAGAACAAAGGTTGAAAGAAAGGGAAGCATTTTCTGAAGACTTTGAGTCCTTGGCTTCAGATGCACATTAAGGAAGGAGAGGCAGGGCCTGGTGGGAGCCCAGCCTGGCAGGATGAGATTGAGGGTCTAGCCTCTGAGCCTGGCCCACTTCTTGCCCACCCGTCCCAGAGAAGACTAGAAAGCAAGGATGCCTGGGTTTCTCACAGTGGATGGGGGCAGGGGCCTCTCTGTCCGAGGACGTCACCCATGAAACTTCCTCTGTCAGCCGCACAGGAAGCAGAGCCGGCTCAGGGCCCAGCTCGGAGCCAGCACAGGCCCCCAGGACCCCTGGGAAAGGGCCCACCCGGCCAGCCTCCAGGGACCATGGGCTCCAGAGCTGAGTAAGAAATGATCCACCCTCATCATTTGTACCAAGATTCCCAGGCCTGGGCAGGAGCAAAGGGGAGTTGGCTTGAGGCAAGCCTGGGAGTCTCAGCCACCCCCAGGGGCAGGTGGTAGCATCAGGGTCAACAGTTAGCTGGCCTTCCAGATGGACTGCACTCTGGGGCTTGCTCAGGCCACTCTTGGCCCCTCCTCTCTCTCTCTTCCTGGCTCCGGCTCCCTGTGATCATGGCTAGATCTCTATGAGTGCCTCTTGGTGTTTCTGAGTGGTAGCTTCCGGGAGACCAGCAGGGTAAGGGAGGAGGGGATGAGGGAGGTCGTATGTTTGCACTAGTGGCCGCTGGTGACTCATGTCCACCTGAAAGTGAGGTGCTGGAGTACACCATGTCAGGGACTCTGTGTGCAACTGGACAGGAAAATGTGTCTGCAACTGGTCCCCACCGCAGGTCTGGCTGTGTCTCTGTTTGAGGCCAAGTCCCGGCATCCTCTGTGTGGTATGGGAGACAGGGGAGGAAGGCAGAGGCTGTAGGGTTGTGGGGTTGTCAGGTAAGTACAGACGCACCCTGATCTCCTTTATCTGGTGAGGAATGTGGTGTGGACCACTGGGACCCCATGAAATCTCACACAGAGACACATGGGCAAACGACAAGGGTGCTCACACACAGCTGTGCAAGAAAAAGGGGACATTGATTCACCTGACATTTGCTCTGTCACACATGCTCTCGGTTCCACCCCACCCCACACAGACACCTGCACACTTCCATGAACCATACACTCAGCCCCCACACACATAACCTCCATGTGCTCACACAAGCCAAGGGCTTAGCCATGCACACAGTCAAACACACACATGCACTCTTGCTGTGTCCCACACTCATGGACACAATCGGCACCCTTGCACGTTCAGGCTCACACAGCCACCCACCACTCAGCACCACAAAGCCTTGGTGTCACACACACCAGATGGTCATTCACATGTGCACAATCACACACACACACACACACACACACACACACACAGGTCTGGTAAAGTTGTCAAATTCCACAGGACGGATCCACCCGCAGTGTTTGACTGGTTCTTTGAAGCTGCCTGCCCTGCCTCCCTACAGGAAGGTGAGTTGGAGCATGGGGTTGGGGGTTGGGAGGAACATGGGGGATGGACTTGATGCTTTGAAACTTAGAAGCCCACTCTCCCTACAGACCCCCCCATTCTGCGGCAGTTCCCCCCAGACTTCAGGGACCAGGTACTGAGGTGGGCTCCTTGCTTCCCCAGAACCAAAGCCAGTTCCCCAGGTGGATGGGGGATCTGAGCCTTGGGTCTGGAGCCGAGGGCTGGGGTCCCAACTTGAGTGGCAGTCTGTGATTCTCACCTGTAGGAGGCTCTGCAGATGGTGCCCAAGTTCTGCTTCCCTTTTGACATGGAAAGGTATGGAAAGGAGTGGAGACCCACAGGGAACCTGGGCTCTTGGGGACTTTGGGATTAAACACTCAGTGACTTGGACATCCCATATGACCAGGGACCCAGACAACTGGGCCCTGACCACTAGGGACCTATATGCATAGGAACCCAGAGACTCAGGGAACCAGGAACTCGGGAACGTGAAAACCCAGGGACCCATGAACTCAGGGTCTCAGGAGCCTGGAGACCCAGGGGCTCAGGAACTGGGAACCCATACATCTCATCTAGGGACCTGGACTCTGATACCAAATGATCTGATCAGGGACCAGGCTTATGGGTTCAGTACTAGGAATGGGGGGTGCATCTGAAAAACCAAGTCTCTCGGAGAACCCTTCCCACCTCCAGGGAGCCCCCCAGCCCCGCCGTCCAGCACTTCACCTTTGCCCTCACGGACCTGGCAGGCAACCGCAGATTTGGGTTCTGCCGCCTTCGATCTGGTGCCCAGAGTTGTCTCTGCATCCTCAGGTATGGGATATGGGGGGGGGGTCTCACGTGGGGGAGCAGGAAGGGCCCAGGCCTTAGGCACTTCATGGAACCTGTGTCCTCTCTCCACAGCCACCTGCCATGGTTCGAGGTGTTCTACAAGATTCTGAACACAGTGGGGGACCTCCTAGCCCAGGACCAAGTGAGACCAGCCCTCCTCTCCTGCCCCAGCTGTCCCCAGCCCTGCTGTGAGATCCCAAGCCAGATCTGAGCTTGGCTCTTCCCAGGGCCCCCACAGCCTGAGCCATGGCCCTCAGAATCCCAAAGCCACCTCTGACTCAGACCCACCCTCATCCCCAGGTCCAGGAGGCTGAAATGCTTCTTCTAAACCTGCTGGAGCAGCCCCCAACTGGGCCCCAGGCCTCAGTGGGCCTGGAGCTGGTGAGTAGCCACCAACTCCTGGGTGCTGGACACTAGGTGGACGGGGAGGCTGCACGGCCAGCCCTGAGGACCACACAGCTATACCTGTCCCCCAGGGCAGCGGTCTGACCATCTCCAGTGTGCACGGTATCCTGCCTCCTGCCCCTGGGAATAGCAGACTGGTGAGCAGGGCTCGGGGACCCTGGAATTTTGGGCGTCCAGGTGAGGACAATCCCCAGACTGACCGAGCCTTTGCCAATGTCCCCACCAGCTTTCCTGTTTTGTGGCTCCGGACTCCGACTGTCTGCCATCCATTCCTGAGAATGTGAGTAGGAAGACCGGAGAGGAAACTCTGGGGGCGGGAACCCCAGAAGGGGATGTCGGATTTTGGCGGTCGCCCACGCCCAGCGCACGCCCCTCTTCCTTAGAGGAATCTAACGGAGCTGGTGGTGGCAGTGACAGATGAGAACATCGTGGGGTTGTTCGCCGCGCTCCTGGCGGAGCGAAGAATCTTGCTCACTTCCAGCAAGCTCAGCACGGTGAGACTGGGCCACGGTGAGGAGTGGCAAGGCCTTGGGTCTACCCCTGGGGGAGCCGGACCATAGAGTGATTGACACCTAACTCCAATCCCAGCGGGTCAGACCTGAGAGCAAAGTCCTGGCCCCACTCCCATGGGGTGCACAGTAGCTCCCGTTTGCGAGCGCAAAGTCCAGGCTCCGCCCACTATGGACCAGAGCAGGCCTGGCTCCGCCCATCTGGAGGAGGAAATTAGCTCCTAGGAGAAAAAATGGGTGGGTCTTGAATGCTGGCTCCACCTCCTAGGGGAGTGTCCAAATGAATTACATTAAAGCCCACCCTCTTTAGGGGTGTGATAAGAGGAGAGTCGTGACTCCTCCCTAGGGCGGGGACCAGGATGGGCTGAATATTAGCTCCGCCCCCTGGAGGGAGTGATTAGGGCGAGCGGAGTCCTGGCGCTACCCACTTAAAGCAGCACCATCCTCCCCGGGTACTACGACGGAGATTGATTGATTCCAGGCTCCGCAAATCCGAAGCTGCCCAAGATTCCTGTAGAAGATGACAGTGTTTGCATAGAACGTGCGGCTCATTCTCCCAAAAACTTCAAATCTACTCTAGAGGGCGTAGCTCCATGATAGAGAGCTTGCCTAGCATATGCAAGGCCTTAGGCTCTTCCCAGTACGGCAAAAAGAAAAAAAATCATCTGTAGGTGATTTATAATTCCTCAAAAAATTGAGAAATGGAGAAGCTATGTCAATAGCTGCTGTAGTCTAAACATGTTCAGTACAGATGTAATCTTTTCCGCAAATTTTTGATCTGTGGTTGGTTGAATTCGCGCATGCGGAACCCGCAGATACACAGGGTTGATTTTAATTAGCCAAATTCATGGTCTCCATCTGATTCCTAAAGGGTTTAAATTTTTGCCTGTCAGGGTGGAGAAGGGAGAGGAGATTAGGGAAGTCTGAGACGCCATCTCCGAAAGGGTACAACAAAGTTGGAAGTCAAGGCCCTGACTCCACGATCTCCCCCTTTGTCCCCAGTTGACGTCATGTGTCCACGCGTCCTGTGCTCTCCTGTATCCCATGCGCTGGGAGCACGTGCTGATCCCCACGGTGCCCCCGCACCTGCTGGATTACTGCTGGTGAGGAATGGGGAGCTGAGGAGGGGCGGGTCTAGGGATGGGGACTGGGGGCGGTGCCTGCATGACCCCACCCCCTCGGTCCGCAGCGCGCCCATGCCCTACCTCATTGGAGTGCACGCCAGTCTCGCCCAGGTGAGCGCGAACCGACCCGGAAGGTGGGGGCTGGAAGGATCCCCTTCCCTCCATATCCCCAGATACTCTCCCCTACCTGGGATCCTCAGGCTAAGTGGTGGCCCCCTCCCCCTGCAGAAAGTGCTAGACAAAGCCCTGGAAGATGTCGTGGTGATGAACGTGGACTCCAATACCTTGGAGACTCCCTTTGACGACGTGCAGGCGCTGCCCCCAGACGTGGTCAGTGTTACCCCCTCCCACATTCCTGCTCCCGGAAGCTAAGGCCCTCACACTTGTCCACTTCAGTGCTCCTTCCTTGTCCTGCAGGTGTCCTTGCTGAGGCTGCGACTAAGGAAGGTTGCGCTGAGCCCTGGGGAAGGGGTATCCCGTCTCTTCCTCAAAGCCCAGGCCCTGCTCTTTGGAGGGTACCGCGACGCGCTGGTCTGCAGCCCGGTGAGTAGCCAGGGTGGATACTAAGGGAGAGGTTTCTCTTGGGCATCTGAAGGGCTCACATGTTAAGGATATCTAGCATTTTTAGAGGGTTTACTTTGTGCCTCTCTTTGCCCATCTGTAAAATGGAACCCCCAACAGAACCCACGAAAATCGGTGAATGGGCATATTCTGCACATTTTGAGTAGTGTCTAGCATCTAATGAGCACTTGGCAAATTGTAGGTTATACTATTTACTATTATTTAATGCTCACAATATCATGAGATGAGTATCATTAGAACCCCAACTTACAGGTGAGGAAACCAAGACTTGGAAAAGTCCCACAGCAGGTAAATTTTGACGCTGGGACCTTGTTCTGCTCACTCCCACACATACATTTTTCACAGCTGTTCTATAATACTTTGTGGGGTGGGTTACTTATCATTTGCACATCTGGCATTCTTGTCCACTCTCCTTTTTAATCTGTGTATGCCCCCCTCCCCCCGCCAACATACACCCACACCCACACTCTAATATTCCTCCCTCCAGGCAGGTTCCTACCTTCACCCTCCCAACCTCCTAGAGGTAAAGCCCAAGTCCTCCTCATGGCCTAAGAGGCCCTGCACAGGGCCAGGCATACAGCAGGCCGTAGGATGAAGGAGATAGCTGGGGGCGGGGGCCAGGCGCACAGGATGTGGGTCCTTCTTCCAGGGCCAGCCAGTAACCTTCAGCGAGGAAGCATTCTTGGCCCAGAAGCCTGGGGCGCCCTTGCAGGCCTTCCACCAGCGGGCCGTGCATCTGCAGCTGTTCAAGCAGGTGTGCCACAACCCTGAGGACCCCCCGGGTTTCTTGGGCGGGGCGAGGTGAGGGTGGACTGCCGGGTCCCTGGGGCGAGGTCTAAAAGCCGGGCGGGGCAGGAGCGGACTCCTGAGTCCCAGAGGCAAGGCTAGGACAGACTTCTGGGATCCTGGGGGTGCTGGAGATGCTCCGTCGGGGCCCCTCATTCCAGGATCCCCAGGTGAGAAAAGAGCACTGAACTCTTGGGTTGCAAAAGATGGAATGCCCTCAACTTCAGGGTTCCTGAGGGACAAGACCTGCTTCTAGTCCACTGGGGGCTTAGGGTGGGTTCAAATTGCTTATCTCTGAGCAGTGTCTTTATGGGTCAGAGGTGGGGGTCCTGATTGCATTTCCTTTTCAGGTGGGGGAGGTGGGTTGGGATATGTCCTAGGGATATGGGGGCAGAGGGCCTGGGAGAATGTAGGCAGGACTCAAGGCTCCTTTAGCTCAGGCCTTGGTTCTAGGGTTCCTGCAGGTGAAGTTGAGGATTCCAGGCCCACAAAAAGGGTGGGTTGGTCTGGAGGGGCAGGGTCCGATCCCTGGGGACAGGTCTTGGCCTGGTGTGTGCGAAGAGTTGAATCTCTGGTTTCGAGATTCCTGGGTCCTTGGGGTGGGTCTCAGGAAGGACCAGGGATGCTTCCTATTGACTGGGTAACAGAGACTGTCCCCATATTATGTCTGATCCTCCCACCACCCCAGTTCATTGAAGCCCGCCTGGAGAAGCTCAACACAGGGGAAGGGTTCTCCGATCAATTTGAGCAGGAGATTACCTGCTGCAGAGCCTCCTCAGGTGAGCCCTGACCCTGGCCCAGGCGTCCTCCCCCCATCAGCACCCAGCCTCAGTTCTCCTCCAATAACCACCTGTTCTCCCCTCATCCTAGGCCCCCTGCATTCCTACCAGATGTGGGCAGGCAACCTGAAGGTGAAGACATGTGACTATTACTGAGCTAATCTAATTCCACAGTAGTTCCCAAGAAGGATCACGATTGTGCTCATTTATGGAGTTGATCAAAGGACGGGGGCCGTCCAGCATCACACAGCCTTGGGTGGGGAGTAGGGTCTGGGATCCAGTCCAGCTGACCCCAGAGGCCCAAACCTCTCCCCTTTGGTGTCTTCCTTCCACAGAAAGGTGGCGGTGCTCTCCTACATTCAGTTAAGGCCAAAACCCAACCAGCCGTCAGGAACATGTATCGATCGGTGAGGTTGGACTGGGCAGGTCACACTTGCTGGGATGACAAGGGGGAGGGAGAGGACAGAAGACATTTTGACCTCATCCAGCACTAAGTGCACATTTTTATCAGAACTGAACCGGCAGTTAAACCGTTAACAATTCTTCCCATTTTTTATTTTCCATTTACCATATTCATTTCTGTCACCATTTTTTGTCCATTTGAAATCAACAGTCAAGATTCTCTGAATTATCTTTTGTTTTTCTCAGATAGAATATACCAGCTTCTGCCCATGTTTTTGTCGTTGTTTTCTCCCAAGTCCAGAAGTTTCCTGGGGCCTTTTGGCAGCTCAAAATGAAATTTGGTTTTATTCTTCCCTTGACTTTGAGACAGTGACATACTTTTATAAGGTCCTCTGCCCCTCCCCCTTTTATATGGAAGCTATTCCCTCCAGTAATTCTCCTTCCATCTGTATTACTCAAAGGAACAAGTTTATATTGACTCTTGGGTGGTGTCTAGGGAGTGGTGTATGCATTTGAGAGACAGAGACTGGTGGCAAGACAAGACGCAGCTGTCCTAGTAGACAGAGCCCACAAATGCCCAGTATCCAACCATCCTAGGATCTAATGCTCCCTTGTCCCTTCCATAGGCTAAGAGTGGCTTGAAGGGTATGCAGAGCCTGCTGATGTACAAGGTAAGGCTGGAAAATGGTCAGTAACCCCCTGCCCAGGAAGGTAGGGGTGGGACCCCCAGCTTTTGCAACCTCTTCCTAGGATGGGGACTCTGGCCTGCTAAGGGGGGGCTCCCTGAGGGCACCCAGCCTCACCAGCCGCTCAGATTGCCTACAGCAGCGCCTGCCTATCACCCAGCACTTTGGACAGGTAGGACCGTTCCCCTCCCCAAGCACATACCTGGATTACCAAATCCTCCACTTGCCTGCCACCCTACCACCTGAATATCTCACCTCCCTTCTCACCCTAAAATTTGATACCATCTTCAAACTCAGCCTGCTCAGAAAGCCCCAACTCCCCGATTCTGCGAGGTCCTCACTCTTACCCTCCCCACACCTGTCCTTTGCAGAATCGGCCTCTCCGCCCCAGTAGGAGACCCCAGCTGCAAGAGGAACACTCTGAGCCCCTGGGGAAGAGGTAAGGCTCACAGGGGGCAAGTGTAGGAAATGGAAGGCCAGGACCAGTGGGGAAGGTCCCAAACTCCAAAGCAGCCTTACTGGGGCTGGAGGTGTCAGGCAAATGAACGTTTGGGATTGCCCATCTTCAACCCAGGACACCTCCTCAGAGCCCTGAGGACACCCAGGGCCTGTGGGCAGAGGAGGCTCTGGACAGCAGCTTTTTGGAGTCTGGAGAAGAAATGGATTTGTTGAGCGAAATTCTAGAGAGTCTGGCTGTAGAAACCAAGAGCGTGAACAGCCTGAGACCAAGCCAGAGTTTAGACTGCTGTCACCGAGGGGACCTGGAAAGCTGCTTCAGCCTGGTGAGAGCCTTCCCCCTTCAACAGTGCATCCAACCTGCCAGCAGCTCCGCCCCATCTGAAGCTCACTCACTGCTTCTCCCCCACCTCTACCCCACACAGCCTGACCTGCCAGGAAGGTCGAGATGGCAATCAGATATCCAGAGATCACCAGAGCCCCAGCCCCTGTCCCTGCCTGCAGACCTGTCACCACTGCACAACACCCAGTCTTTGGATGCCCTGAGCTCCTCAAAGAGCCCCCATTCCCAGCTGCCCTCATGTGACGAACAAGAATTCATCACTCCAGCCCAGCTCTCAACAACTTCTGCAGACCCAAGTGGCCATGGGGAACCTAAATCCTCTCCACCCGCTCAGCCCTTAATCCCTCACCTCTTCCCTCCTCACAAGGCAGCTGAGGATCCTAGCACCCAGGACAGCCCATGCTCCAGGCTCCCTACAGCATCTACCCAGCCCAGCCCTCCAAAAAGCCCCCAGCTTCTGGCCCCTACAAAGTCAACTTGTGACACTGTCTGGACGTCCCAGTCCCTTGATTCTGATTCTTCCTCAGATCTCAGTTCTCTGGAGAACCCCACAACCCAGTCTCCTCAGGCCCAGGTAGGCCATGCTCACCTCCAGCTCCCTAAGGAACCAGTAGCCCCCAACTTGCCTTCCTCTTGCACCAGCAACTGGCAAGGGCCCCAGGCTAGCAGGCGGTCCCGAGTTGCTGACCTTAAGAAGTGTTTTGAAGGTTAAGGATTGGGATCTAGAGAAGATCCCTGGTCTCTCAATAAAGTTGTGAGAGCCCAAAGCTGGTTTTGCTTGGTGAGTTTATCTAAAACTTTCTCTCTGCTTAGAAACCTACCTGACTCACCTCCCTCCCTCCAGCCTCTAACTAGCTCCAAAGCTCCTCTCTTCCAGGAAGTCTTTCCAGCCCCCTGGACTTTTTTTTCTCGGTAGGACTGGGGTTTAAACTCTAGGCTTTGTGCTTGCGATGAGTCACACCTCCAGTCCATTTTGCTCTGGTTATTTTGGAGATGGGGTCTTGTGAATTATTTGCCTAGGCTGGCACTGAACCTCCATCCTCCTGATCTCAGCCTTCCAAGTAGCTAGGATTACAGGCGTGAGCCACTGGTGCCCAGACCCTTGGATCTTTGCAACCTTAACAATTCATCTCAGCTCCATCTGGACTAATGTTCCCACTAGCTCAAAAAAGCTTTATTACAGCTCTACCAACTTTATATAAATATATAAAAAATGAGCAGCCGCACCCTCCCTTACCCTCAAAGGCAAAGTCTTTGAAGCACCTTCTTCCCTTCTATTCTTAAGCACTGGGTGAGTGTGATTGCCCAGAGAGGGCGCTGCCTTCCCCCAGGGTCACACAGCAAGGGAAGGGAGATGAAGGGGAGGGGACCTAGATGGGCAGGCAGCCCCGCACCGGCTCCTTGGAGTCCTGTGAGGCCCGGGCCTCCGCTGCGTGGGAGAACTGAAAGAAAGGATAGGGGGTTGTTGGGCCTGGAGCAGCAACAGAATTCTCAGCAGAGCCAAGATGGTGAGGCAAGCAGGGAGGCAGGACCCCAGCCCCGGCAGCCCAGCTGCATGCAGAGTCAAGCAGAGGCAGCATGCTGCACAGCCTGCCAGGCGGGTGCCCCAGGTCCCCCCAAGTCCTCCTGAGCCATCAGAGGCTGGTGTCTCGGTGGCGGCTGCTGTGTGCCAGGGAGTGCCGGGCAGTCCTGGGCAGTGGTGGTGGCTGTGGCTGGCCTCAGCATTCAGATGAGCCGCTCCTCCGGCGGCAACTTGAGGTTGGGGGGTGGCGGCGCACGGGCACCCACCTGCTCCTCGCTGCTGGGCCGGTAGGTGCCTTCCGTCTGCCTCTTCTCTCGAAGTTTCCGAACCAGCAGCGCCAGCCCCACAGCCAGGAGCAGGACACCCAGAATGGAAAACACCACAATGATAGCAGTGATGGCCCCCTGAGACTGCAGGAGTGGGAAAGAGGACAGGTGTGACCCACCTGTCTGAGGGTCCTATCCACATCTGAGCTGCCCTCGGGGCTTCAAATGTGCCCCCACAAACCCTCTGCCCTGCCTCACAGGAGTCCCTAGAGCCTCATCTGCTTTGGGACTCCAAGGATCTCCCCCAGAACCCACCCCAGGTGGTACTCCAGTCCCCACCCCCCAGCTCTGGGCTCTATATGAGGGGCAAATGGGTGCGGGCGGCGAGGTCTTAGTATCTTCATTCTAAGACACTCTAGGGCTCACTTTTCATCCCACTGATAGGCTGCTCTTTCCCACCCGGAACTCTCCAGTGCCATCCTGACCTGCCACCTGGGGAGGGCAGCCCCCTCCCCTCCAACTGCTGCATGTGGGACTCCTCAATAGCTTTCTACATTTGTCCCTGACTCACCAGGCCACCACCGGAGCTGGGGACTGTGGGCGAAATAGTGGTGTCATTTGTGTTCAGTGCTGTGAAAGAGAAAAAATGAATGTCCAGCTCTCCTCCTTCCCACCTCAGCCATCTGCACCTTTCTTGGGCACCCGCTCCCAAGCAGGGGCCAGTTAAAACTCTGCTCTGGCTCGCTTAGTGACTCAAGCAGTAGAGCATCTGCCTAGCAAGGGTGAAGCCCTGAGTTCAAATCACACTACCTCCAAAAAATGCAAATCGTTTACCAGGCACCAATGGCTCACACCTGTAATCCTAGCTACTCAGGAGGCAGAGGTCAGGAGGATCACAGTTCAAAGCCAGACTGGGCAAAAAGGGGTGGAGTGGCCTACCTAGCAAGCATGAGGCCCTCATGCTTCAAACCTCAAAACCACCAAAAAAGTGTGCAGCTAGAATAGGGATTGCAAGTGCCCTGAAGGTCCCCTATCCTGGGTGTTGGCTTCTCTGGCTACCCGCAGCTCAGAAGCCCAGCAGGGAGCAAATCAGCCAGCCCTTATTTGTGTAGAGTTGGGGGTTAGTAGAACAGACAGCGCCGGAAGCCCGGCCCTCCCCCCATCTTAAGGGCCCTTAAGGACCTGGGCGGATCCAGACCTTCCTTGGAGAATGTGAGTCACACCTCCCCCAGGCTCCCGAGAAACAGCAACAGAAGGACTGAGTGGCCGGCTTGGTCCACGGCCATGACAACCTGGGCTGGGAGCGCCCGGCAAGTCTCCTCCATCTCCCAGTCTCTACTATACAAAGGCTCAGGGACGCAGGCCTCCCCTCCCCCAGCTCCTGTGGAGCCCAGCACCCCTAACCCACAAATTCCACTCCCTCAAGAACTCACTGTCCCAGGAAGGAGACAGAAATTCCAACACCATCATTCCTCGTCGATCCCTTGGATCGACTCCCCAGTTCTTGACTCTTTGCGCCCCAGGTACCCAGCACTTCTGAGCCCCGCCCCCAGCCGAGAAACTCAGGAATCCGGGCCCCTTTCCCCAGCCTGGTACCTACCTTGCCCCCAGGCTCGGCTCCAGAGGGCCGGCAGCAATGGCAGGCCAAGCGCCAAAAGCGGCCCCAGGACCGGGGTCGCCATGGGCTGGGCGGCAGGTGGGTGGCGCCAGGGACCCGGCTTCTCCTGCGTGCCGCTTCTACCGCATCTTGGGCCCGGGGTACCTGTGACCCGGCACCTGGGGGCCGAGAGACGGAGAAAGGCCGGGGCGTCGGGCTGGGGGCTGGATCCAGGCGCAGGCACTCGGGAGAGGCGAAGCGGGCCGGGACACCCAGGAGTCCGCCCCGCCCCCAAGGGTCAGAGATTAAAGATTAACTCTCAGGCCGCGTTCCTGGGCAGCGAAGTGAGGGTGGGGGCAGGCCAAGCTCAGCGCCCTGTCTTCCTACCTGGTCCAGGCGTCTTTGACCTTGCACAAGTTCTCCGTCCTGGTCCCTCTCTCGAACCCTGGCTCAGTCCGTCAGCCGCCGGGTCCGACCCCACCGGCCCCGCCCGCTCACGTGACCGGGAAAGTTTAGTCACTCACCTGGGAGGGGAGAGCACTTCCGGCTTGTGCACCTGAGCCTAGATGAGAGGGCGGAGCCGAGGGGGGCGGAGCCACGCCTCCGGCGCACCTGTAACGGAACCCCATTCCACCATGAGAACCGGCAGTGAAAAGGCGGAAGCGCGCAGGTGTTAAGGACTTCGCACCTGTATTTCGGGAACATTTATAGGATTGTACAGGTGTAGAGACACACGGAACATGGAGACACCCGTGTCGAGGGCAGACTCGGATGGGAAGCGCTTAATGAAAAAACAACTGTATAGTAAACACCTGGCTGGGGGCAAAGAGGTATGGAAGACACCTGCACGATGTTCTCAGGCAAGATCACTTACGGAGACATCTGCATTGAATCACGTCCATTCGGAGTATACTGAATGGAAGCACACCTGTGTGGGAAAACATAGGGCTGAGACAGACACTCCTGGGTGGACTACACCTGTTTTGGAAATGAATCTGCAAAGCTCACCTATGAAATGGGCGCTACGTGTATAGATGAATTCCTAGGCGGGAATGGATTGGAAATACCTGCCTGTGACGCAGTTCGATGGCAACACACCCATATGGGTTTATATGTAACTGGAACACACGTATAATGAATTCATGGGTCGAGGAATACCTGCTGTAAAACATACCTGCGAGGTAAAAGAAACCTTCCTGTATAAAGAACACCCGAATAGAATTGAGGCCCACAGATAACAGGGAGTTATCTGAGAGAACACGCTTCCATGGGAAAACATCTCTGTCCTTCGTGTTGTGGGGCACCTGCAGAGGAACACCTGCGAATCAAAATATCTGCTAGCTGTAACAGGTTGGTTTGTCTGGGATTCATAGACGCCTGTCTGAACAGAGGCTGGCTGGAAATTAAACGAGCCCCCACAGCTGTATCTTTGGATAAAGGATGATAGTAATAACCCGACCCTCTCCCAAAGACTCTTGGGTAAAGAGTGATAATGAAAGGATAATTAATTCATTCTAGAATATATAGCGATAGTTAAGGATCCCAGATCTGTTTAAATTTCCGCTTTGTCCTTTAGTGAGAGTAAAGACTGGGAAGTTTAACTGGCTTCCTCATCTGTAAAGTGGGAAAGCTAGTATCACCTACCTTATAGGGTTTTGCCGAGGACGGTGGGAGAGGTGAGTAAAAGGCCTGGCATGTGAAACGCACTGAATCAATGCTAGCTATTATTACTCGCTGTCAAGTGGTGAACTTCCCCCTAACGGTGAGACAAGAAACTGCGCACAAAACTAGTGGGCGGAACATTCAGCAGGTGCAGTCAGAGAGACTGGCTGAGGCCCCCGCCTCCGGTGCTCCGGCACCAGATCCTTATTCCCTAGCCGCCCCTGGAGCACTGACCCTTCCTCCACCCCTACCCCCAGGCTGGCCTGGAGAGAGCAGTCAGCCGGGCGTCAGGATCCGGCTGCGGCCCCTTTAAGTAGCCCGGCCCGCGGTGGAGCCGCGCGGCTCAAGGCAGCCCCAGGTCAGCTGTGAGGCCCCGCCCAAGTGGGAGGGCGAGAATGGACGGGCGGGCACAGTTCAGGCGGCTTAAACCAATTGGAAACCGACTTTGCAGCCGCGCCGCGTATTGATCTTCTGTTTCCCTGTCTGAGTGGAACCAAGAAAGGAGGCGCGCGGGCGGCATGAAAGGAAGGAGGAAGAGCTCCGCCTCTTGATCTTCTGTTTCTCTAACCGAGTGCGGAATCTGACATACGCGGGCGGGCAGTTGAAGCGCTTAGCTAGCGCAGAGTTCTTGCGTGCCTCTGAGAAAAGCGAGAACTTTAGTTCTTGAAGAGGATTAGTAGAGGAGGGAGGTCAAGTGTAAAGAGATTATGAAGCCCAGTCCTTGACATCTCCCTCCCCCACTCCCTTAAAAAAAAGAGAAAGAAGGTAAACTGAGGCAAGCAGAGGCAGAATTGCAATCAGAACTGAGACTACTGAGCTCTTTATCCTCTTTCCAGGACCCCTGGCGCTCCTCGGCTTTGCAATACTAGCGCATCCTAGGCATCCCTCCCCACGCCATCAGCTCCGCCCTCGGCCCCCTCCCCCCTGCCAGCAATGCGGGTCGGGGGAGGAGACGCAAGTTCTGGCGCGGGCGGCGACGGCTAGCAGTTATCACCTCCAGTAAGTGCCAGAGCCCGGCCAGCAGCGCAGAGGTTGCGGTACCAGTGGTCGCGGAGCTGGCCCTGGGGGGCCCCGGGGGGGAGGGGGATTCGCAAAGCCCCCATTGAGGCCGCCGCTGCCGGGCCTCCCCTCCCCCCCCGGGCAGGCGCCATGCCGGGGGGTCCAGGCGACGCGGAGCGGCAGCAGCGCTGGGGTCGCCTGTTCGAGGAGCTGGACAGTAACAAGGATGGCCGCGTGGACGTGCACGAGTTACGCCAGGGACTTGCCCGGCTGGGTGGGGGCGACCCAGATCGCGGAGCCCAACAGGTACCCCCGCCGGGACCCCCTCCAAGCGCCCGACTCTGCGCCTCCGCCTGCGCCGGGTAACCCAAGCCCCTGAATGGAGCCGCTGGAGCCGCCAGGGACTACCTGTGGCTGGACTCCAGGACCTCTGTCTCGGCTCCCTTTCCCTGCCCACCCGTGCCTGACCTAATGGGTTCGCAAGACAGGGCTGCTAAGGCCACAGGCCTGCAGCTCCATTGCAAGCACCTGGTTTTCCTGGAGGAGGAGGGGAATGTCTGCCCACTGTCCGAAACACACCCTTCTCCAGGCTCGGCACAGCACCAGATCATAATCCCACCTCCAGTGGTCACACCCTCCCCCGCCCCCTTCGGGTGCCCATTGCCCTTCCAGCCCACTGCCTCAGTGTCTATGTTTACATTCTCTGCCGGCCCTTTCCCGGGGCCTGGCTCATTGCCCCAGGCTGCCCCAACCAACGACTTAATTCTGCCTGAGGCCACCCTCCACTATCAAGGCCACCTTCCACTGTCCAGGCAGGAACTTGCCCTCCCTCCCGGGCATTGCAGGTGTGCTCATACCTGTAGCCCCCAGGTGTCCCTGAAGCAGGCCCAGAGCATCCTTGAGCCTTCAGTCCAAGCTCCCACTTTCCAGACTGGTAATATGGAGGCCCTGTGGCTGCTCAGCTTGGATCTGTCATGCCGTGAATTAACCGGGACCGGGACCGTTTCTAAAGAGGGGCCCTGAGACTTCGGTGTGGACAGGTTTTTATAAGAGCTTGGGAGGACAGGCTTTGGAGACAAGAACCCAAGGTTATCACTTCCCAGTTCTGTGACCTTGAACTAGTTACTTGACTTTGAAAAGAGCCTCGTTTCGCTCACCAGAAAAACTGTACAACCGCCACGCACTTACATACCTATTGTGGCCTTGGGCATCTTGCTGAGAAGTGAGCTGATTGAAGGAAGGGGGAGATGTCCCCTGCCCCCCTTCCTTGAAGCACTGGAGGAAGGGTTCCTGACGCATAAGGCGTGTTGTGCCACCTCCAGATTGGGGAGCAGCCTCCTGGAGCCCCCTCTGTTCCCTTTCCCTCTGCCAGGGCATCTCTCCTGAGGGTGCCACAGATCCAGATGGAGGGCTCAGCCTGGAGGAATTCAGCCGGTACCTGCAGGAGCGGGAGCAGCGCCTGCTGCTGATGTTCCATAGCCTTGACCGCAACCAGGATGGTAACTGTCAGCCTGCAGGCTGGGGGTGGGGCCAAGGGTTAGAACCGGCACTGCTGCTGGGAGGGGAGGGCTGTTCTTCCCTATGACTCACTGGCTATTTTGGGAGTTCTCCTCAACATCCCCCCCCAACTAGGTGTTTTGAGGCCCAAGCAGCCCCATCCCACCTCCTTTTCCCTTCTGAAGTGGGATCCTTATTATTACTCTTGGGTTTCTCCCCCATATTGCTCCCTGTGGGATGAAGACTACCTCCCCAGCTCCCTGGCAATCATCTAGGTTCTGAATATTGCTTCTTAATCCCCTGTGGCACAGGCACAGGACCCTATAACCGCCCCGGAATTAGTTGACAAATTCATTGCTGGAATCCAGAACTCCCCAGCTCAATTCTACCTCTCTGGTCCCAGTGGGATCTCCCTACAGCCACGTTGGTAGGATCCCCATTCCCAACTATCCTAATCTTTGGACTTGGGGTCACCGGGGATCCCACACACACCCTTCCCCACCTGGGACCCCTTTCCAGGTCATATCGATGTCTCTGAGATCCAGCAGAGCTTCCGAGCTCTGGGCATTTCCATATCATTGCAACAGGCAGAGAAAATTCTACACAGGTGAGTGGTGAGAGGTTCAGAATCCCAGGTAACTGGAAACCTTGGGACCCCCTCAATCACTTCATCTTCTGGGCCCCAGACCCAGTTCCAGGGAGGGTGGAGCTGAGAAGTTGAGCTTTGGAGTCAGATCTTAGGCCAGACACTTGACCGCTCTGAGCCTCAGGTTCCCCTGTGTAACATGAGGGCAGTAACATAGCTCCCGAATGGGATTGGTACAAGAGAGAAAGATTAACACAGGAAAACCCCAGGAATGTGATTAGAGCAGTACTAGAAATCTGGGAAGCTCAGTACTCCCCAGATCTGCAAAGCGTAGCAGAACCTCACCGTAGTCCTAGACACTGAAGTGTCACCTCACCCCTCAGCATGGACAGAGATGGAACAATGACCATCGACTGGCAGGAATGGCGCGACCACTTCCTGCTGCATTCCTTGGAAAACGTGGAGGATGTGCTGTATTTCTGGAAGCATTCCACGGTGAGGGGGTGGCGTGCACGCTTTCCTGTGGTTGGGGGGTGGGGTGCTGTTCAGGCCTCCCTGGGGTTTAGACTCCCAAGGAGTAGGGAGCAGATAAAGGATGAAGCTCTGGTCCTCTCTTCCTGTATTTGGGGGTTCAGAATCCTGGGGACCCCACTGGGACATTTCTGCTATCTGATTGGAGCCCTTCAGACTTGCTTAAAGGACCTCTGGGGGTGGTTTGTGGGAACTCAACAATCACTGACATTGGAGGGACCAAAGGACCTGTTGGAAGTAGGGAGGGAGCTTTGGTCCAGATCCTCAGTTCCTGAGTGTCAATCCCCAAGGATCTGATTGTATCCGGAGGGGATACATCCACTGGATGGGATGAGGACCTCTTGGGACATCCAGAAACTTCCATCCCAGAGAGGCATGGGGTGGACTGTGCATGAGGATCATTCCTTCTGGGCGGAGTCCTGGGGTTCTCACATGTGAGGCCCTGCAGGGGTCTTAGGGTATGTTTTGAGTGGGCTCCTTCCCTGAGATCTCAGTTACTCTAGAGAGACCTTTCTGTGGCAGATGCTCAGGTAGGATCCTTGGGTCGATTTGGAGGACCCTTGGGAGTATCTGACGGATCCTTTAGTAAGATTTGGTGGAGTTCAGTGGATCCTTTGTTGGGATTTGGTGGCTCCTTGGTGGAATTTGGTGGCTTTCCAAGAAGTATCTTAGGATCTTGCTGGGAAATTGCTGGGTTGGATGTTTTGATGGTGCCTGATAGAATCTGAAAGGGATCTACTAGGCTCTCTGGGGTGTCCTGGAATTCACAGAGGAGACTCCCCAATTTGGGACTGAGTTGTATCTCCTCACCTCTGCCATGACACGACACCTCCACCCCCATCCTTAGGTCCTGGACATTGGTGAGTGCCTGACAGTGCCCGATGAGTTCTCCAGGCAGGAGAAGCTGACAGGCGTGTGGTGGAAGCAACTGGTGGCTGGTGCTGTGGCCGGCGCAGTGTCACGGACAGGCACAGCACCTCTGGACCGCCTCAAGGTCTTCATGCAGGTGAGGGGCTCTGAAGGGAGCCACCCCATCATCCAGGCACAGGGCCTAGAAGGGGATCACAAGGCCACCTTATTTCCCCACTCAGGTCCACGCCTCAAAGACCAACCGATTCAACATCCTGGGCGGCCTACGGAGCATGATCCAAGAGGGAGGCTTCCTGGCTCTGTGGCGGGGCAATGGTATCAACGTGCTCAAGATTGCCCCCGAGTCTGCCGTCAAGTTCATGGCCTATGAGCAGGTGAGGACAGGTGCCGGAACAAGCCTAGGGTACCTGTGAGGATTCTTGGGGTTGACTTGGAGGTGAGGGATGTACGAGACTCCCCAAGGAGTTGGGGGGGGGTGGTTTCTGCTTCCCTACATGACGCCCACAGTGGCCAGCTCTGTGGAAACCAGAGAACAGCGGAATGTATGGAAGGCTTGACCCTGCAGGCCTAACCACACCTGTGTCCCACCCTCAGATCAAGTGGGCCATCCGGGGGCAGCAGGAGACGCTGCACGTGCAGGAACGCTTTGTGGCTGGCTCCCTGGCTGGCGCCACAGCCCAAACCATCATTTACCCCATGGAGGTGAGAAGGAAGGGCCCAGCGGACTGTGGATGGGATAGGGGCTACCATCAGTGTGTCACCCTGGATTGTGACTGCTTCTCCCTGATTCAGAACCACAGCTGGAAGAGAGGAGGCTGTTTCATGCCTGGCCTGTCTGGATATTACAGTGGTGGCTGCTGGCCACTATGGACTGGCTTTATCTCAGAACAGAGCGCTTATTCTGAGGGGCCACCACTTCTAGATATTGGCTGTGTTTCAAGAAACCATTTTAAGTTTTCAGGTTGTGCAGTATATCATTAGGATTCTGAACGTGACAAAAAACTCAAGATGAAATGAAATCTTGAGATGAGAAAGTTAAGAGACCCCTATTCCCCTATACTTATTTCACCACCTCAGCATGTAGCATCCACCTCATGGGCCCAACATGGCTGCTTGTGCTCTGCTCATTAAACATCCCACATTCTAGCCAATAAAGAAGAAGCCACAAAGGAGGGAATACTCCCTCACCTTTGAAAATATTTTCTGAAAATCATGCTTAACTCCTTCAGTTTTATTGGCTAGGACTTCGTGACGTGGCCTACATCTAGGGAAGACAAGAAATGTGGGTTTATTTCTAGCTTGCTGAAACTTTCTATTATTAAGGAAAAAGAAGCTGGATGCCAGTGGCTCACACCTATAATCCTAGCTACTTGGGAGGCAGAGATCAGTAAGTAGTGGTTTGAGGCCATGTAGGCAAACCGAGACCCCAAAATAACCGGAGCAAAATGGACTGGAGGTGTGGCTCAAGTGGTAGAGCACCTGCTTTGCAAGCATAAAGCCCTTGGTTCAAACCCCAGTCCTCCCCCCAACCCCCCAAAAAAGGAAGAAGGGAACAAGATACTGGAGATGGTTACAGTGTGTGCTGCACTCTGGTAGGCATGACTGTTTCTAGATACAGATTTGGGGACGACAAAAATTATCAAGTAAATGGGTCTCTTTTAATTCAGTTATTCTCAAGATATTTACATCTGGAATAGATGGGTTTTGTTTTGTTTTTTAGCGGCACTGAGGTTTGAACTCAGGGCCTCACATTTGCTAGGCAAATGCTCTACCACTTGAGCCACACCACCAGCCCTTTTTTCTGATGGGTTTTTTCAAAATAGTATCTCTCAAACTATTTGCCCCGGCTGGCTTTGAAACGTGATCCTCCTGATCTCTGCTTCATGAGTAGCTGGGATTACAGGCGTAAGCCACTGGCACCTGGCCTCAGGGTAGCTGTTTATAAGCATCTTCATTCTTGGATATAAGGATGCTGGAATAGCTTTCCAAGGATAGCCGTGTTGTCCCCCAGGTGCTGAAGACCAGGCTGACCCTGCGTCGGACCGGCCAGTACAAGGGGCTGCTAGACTGTGCCAGGCGGATCCTGGAGCAGGAAGGACCCCGCGCCTTCTACCGCGGCTACCTGCCCAATGTGCTGGGTATCATCCCCTATGCAGGCATCGACCTGGCCGTCTATGAGGTCTGTGGACAGCCCACCCTCCCTTCCCCCTCTGGGGTTGGCCCATGCCCTTCCTTCCCCTGGAGCTGACTCAGTTAACCTCACATAGCTGGAGGAGGACAATCATGGGGTGAATAGCACCGTGGGCTCTGGAATCCTGGGGATCCCCAGCAGACATCAGACTCCCTACTCTGCCTTGTACCACTGCAAGTTGTTTTTTGTTTGTTTATTTGTTTTTTAATGATGTTGGGGGTGAAACCCAGGACCTCACGCATGCTGGGCAAGTGCTCACCACCCAGCTGTGCAAGAACCTTGATATTGCAGTTCAGCCTCCTGTGGTCACCTGGGAGGTGGGGACTGCTCTAGCTAAGATTTATGAGCACAGAAAAAGATGAGCCTCAGAGATGCCCATCTTCCCCAAAGTACATATGGGACACAGCCTGTCTGCAGGCTGACAAATTCTGCAGCATCCACCTGTTGCAATAAAAACCGCACCCGTGCCCAGCATCTTGGGGCTGTCATAAACAGAGGCAGGACCAGGGCACTCTTGCTGTTTCTTTTCCAGGAGCCTTATGATTGCTTTAACCTTCCGGCCTGGCCTCCCAGTGAGCCCAGCTCAGATGTCCCCAGGAATCCTCCTAAATCTTTATTTATTTAGGTGGCACTGGGGCTTCAACTCAGGAGGACCTCACACTTGCTAGGCAGGCGCTCTTAACTGCTTGAGCCACCCATTTTTGTGTTGGTTTTTTTTTTTGGTTTTTTTGTTTGTTTGTTTTTTTGAGGTAGGGTCTCAGGAACTATTTCCCCGGGCTGGCTTCAAATCGCGATCCTCCTGTCGCTGCATCCTGAGTAGCTAGGATTACAGGCGTGAGCCACTGGTACCCAGCTAGATGCAATCATATTTAACACATTTTTCAACAATAAAAGGAGTTTGCAAGTCTAAGAAGTCTGAGAAACCATGTGCTATCTTGTCCAAGGCCATGTTAGCTCCTTAAAGGCTCTGACGAGTCCTGCAGTAAAGTGATTTAACTTTCTGGGGGTGAAGCCCAGGCCCAGCAAGCAGAGCGCACTACCTGTGAGATACCTCTCCAGCACCTCCAGCACCTCTTTTCAACAGAATAGCTCTTTCTGTTGTTACTGTCATCATTGTTTTGTTGTTTTGGGGTTTTTTGGTTTTGTTTTTGGTGGGACTGGGGTTTGAATGCAGGGCTTCACACTTGCAAAGCAGGTGCTCTGCCACTTGAGCCACACCCCCAGTCCATTTTGCTCTGGTTATTTTGGAGATGGGAGTCTCATGAACTGTTTTACCTGACTGGTCTCAAAACTTGATCCTCCTACCTTAACCTCCCTGGTGCCAGGATTTCAGGCATGCACCACCACACATGGCTTAATGGAGCATATCTTAATAACTTATTAAACATCTATTTGGCATGCCTGTAATCCTAACACTCAGGAGGCTGAGGCAGGAGGATCACAACTTGGAGGCCAGCTCGGGCTATATAGCAAAACCCTGTCTCAAAACAAAAAAATCAAAACATCTATTTGGCAAATGCTGCTCCAGACCCAAAAGAAAGCTATTCAAAGTGCAAAGGCAATGGTGGTAAACACTTGCCTCCCTTTCACCCAATCTGTGCCTCGGCCAGACATTACTAATGGATCCCAGTACTGAGGCCTTCTCAACCCAGTTCCACTTCCGGTCAGACATTGCCAATGGATTGGAATTGACACAGGAAATGAAACCTATGAGCCCCCCCTGACAAAAAAGGTCTTAACGCCCAGGGCAGGGGTCTACAGATACAGCTCAGTGGTGAACATTTGCCTAGCACGTATTCCCAGCAACCTGAGAGGCTGAGATTGGGAGTATAAGCCCAGGAAAAACATTAGCAAGACCCCATTTCAACCAACAAGCCAGGCATAGCCATATATATCTGTAAACCCAGCTACTCAGGAGGCATAGGTACAAGGATCACAGTCTGAGGCCAGCCATGACAAAAAATGTAAGATCCTACCTGAAAAGTAAAGTAAAAAAGGACTGGAGGTGTGGCTCAAGCACTAGAGCACCTGCTTAGCAAGTGTAAGGCCCTGAGTTCAAACCCCAACACTGTTAAAAAAAAAAAAAAAAGAAGAAGAAGAAGAAAAAAAACATATATAAAGACCATGGTAAAAGTTTTCAGAAGGGATGGGCCACGCTAAAGACCTTGAGCAGAGTTCTGGACCTGGTTGAGGCTTAGAATATTGGTTCTCATCTGTATTTTATAGCCCTTTGCGAGTAACTTTCTCTGCGCCTCAGTTTCTCATCTGTAAAATGGGAATAACAATAGATAATACTTGTCTTTGAAATTTTCTGGAAGCAGCCTGTGCCACAGAGATGTGAGTGACTTATTCAGATAGGAAGACAAGAAAGACAGCCATCGCAGGGTGTGTCCACTCATTTCCCAGGGCTGCTGTAACAAAGTGTAACAAAACAGCTGGTTCAAGCAACAGAAATGTGCATGTTACACTCCTGGAGGTCAGAAGTCCATGTTCATGTTGTCAGTGGAGCCACATGCCCCTGAAGCCTGTCAGAATCCTCCTGCACCTCCTGCTAGCTTCTGCTGCTCTCTGGCAATTATTGGCATTCCTTTCTTTCTTCAGACAAGGTCTTGCTGTGTTGCCTAGGCTGGCCTTGAACTCTTGGGCTCAAATGATACTCCTGTCTCAGCCTCCCAGATAGCCAGGACAGATGTGCACCACTATGTCCGGCAGCACTCCTGGATTGTAGATACATCACTTCAGTCTCTGGCTCTGTTGTCACCTGGCTTTCTCCTTCGTGTGTGTGTGTGTGTGTGTGTGTGTGTGTGTGTGTGTGTGTGTGTGACTGGGGTTTGAACTCAGGGCATCACACTTGCAAAACAGGCACTGTACCTCTTGAACCACACCTCTGTATAACCATTTTGCTCTGGCTATTTTGCTTGCTAGGAAGATGCTCTACCACTTGAACCACTCTACCAGACCTTGCTCTGGTTATTTTGGAGATGGGGTCTTTTGAGCTATTTGCCTGGGGTTAGTCTCAAACCTCAGTCTTCCCGATCTCAGCTTGGGTTACAGGCCTGAGCCACCAGTGCTCAGCTATTTTTTTTTTTTAATATGGAACACTTCATGAATTTCCCTGCCATCCTTGCACAGAAGCATGCTAATCTCTGTTATCGTTCCAATTTTTTAGTACATGTGCTGCTGAAATGAACACTGTCCTCTCTCTTTGGAGACAGAGTGTCACTGTGTAGCCCAGGCTGGTCTCAAACTCTCGATTCTCCTGCTTCAGTCCCAAGTGCTGGGATTACAGGTGTGCACCACCACACCCAGCTTCTCTCATAAGGACACCAGTCATACTGGACTAAGAGCCCACCGTACTCATCTTTGCTTGTTACATCTGCAAAAGACCCCATTTCGAAAGATCCCATCCTCAAATACAGGGTGGTAATGTCACACAATTGGTTGCAAGTGGAACTCCATCCCTTGGGTCTGCTGGGAGGCAGTGTAGACCATGCACCATACAAGGGGCAAGGGAGCTGGTGTGACACACGGGAGAGTCAGTCCTTCCACGGCTGCTGCTGGGGATGCTGGTTTCACAGAGCTTCCTTCTGGTTCCTGACTGGTCAGCGCATCCTAGCCTCAGGAGGGGTTGTGGCTACTGGCAGGTAGACATAAGGTTCTGAGAATCAGTGAGGGAACAGTGAGGGAATCAGTGAGGGACACCGCAGTGTCTGCCATGGTGCCTGCCTTTCAGAGTGAGTTTGTTGCAGTGGCTGTCCTAACAAGCTGCCCCACACTCAGCAGCTTCAGGTAACACAAACATAATTGCCTTTTGGTGGGAAGGTCAGAAATCCAAAATGACTGTCTCACTGGCCTTTGTAAAATCCAGATGGCGGCAGGACTGCATTCCTTCTCGAAGGCTCTAGAGGGGCCTTCAGATTCTAGAAAATCCATTGCTTTGTCTGTCCCAGCTCCTAGAGGCCCCACATCCTTTGGCTTATTGCCCCTTCCTCCCTTTTCAGAGAACCATCTTCCTCTCTCTCTCTCTTCAGTTTTTTTGGCAGTGCTGGAGTTTGAACTCAGGGCCTTGTACTTGCTAGACAAGCATTCTGCCACCACACCAGCAGCACTCTTTGCTTTAGTTCTTTTTGAGGTAGAGTCTTAAGTTTTTGTCCGGGCCAGGCTTGGACCTCAATCCTATTTCTCCTGCATAGCTGGAATTACAGACATGAGCCACCATGCTTGGCCTCACATGTCCATTTTTAAAAATTTTTTTTAAATTTGCTCTGAGGATGAAACCCAGGGGCACTGCATGTACTGAGCACACTCTACCACTGAGATACAACCCCAGTCCCTTTCTTGTTTTCTTTCTTTTTTTTTTTTTTTTTGTTCCGTTGCAGGAATGAAGCCCGGGACCTTAGCACATGCTAAACAAGTGCTGTAGCACTGAGCTATGTCCCCAGCCCCTTCCTCCTCTCTTAATAAGAGCCCTTAAGACATCATTGGACCCAGTGAGGTAATCCAGGATAATCCTCCATTCGAGGTCCTTAATCATGTCTGTAAAGTCCTTTGTGCCATGGACAGTATAACCTACATGCAGATGCCGGGAATCCAGGCAAGCATGGTCCAGGGGTCAAGGTGAAGATGAAGGGAAGGGATGCAGGGGAAGTGTTTGCCCAGCCCCAAGGATGTACTACAGGCTCAGCCAGTGCCAGCTGTCTGTCACGAGACACAAAGCTGGCCACAAGGCTTTGAAACCAGGACCCTGGTATCTGCCACCTCCCCCAGCCACCTACTCCTTTCTCCTCTCTAGACCCTGAAGAACCGGTGGCTCCAGCAATATAGCCATGAGTCTGCAAACCCAGGAATCCTTGTGCTCCTGGCCTGTGGCACCATCTCCAGCACCTGTGGCCAGATTGCCAGCTACCCACTGGCCCTGGTCCGGACCCGAATGCAGGCCCAAGGTGAGGCCTGGTTGGGTGGGTGGGGGATGGGACAGGGAAAGGCTTACCACTTAGGGCCCACCTGCTCTTCCCCAGATCCTGCAGTACTGGGATCCTGAATTTGGATGGCCTTGTCCATCTCTGGGTGTCAGTTTACCCACTGTGACACAAGAAGGGAAGTCCTTTTTCCTTAGTATCCACTAGCAGAACAGACACAACCAGCGTAAGAAATGCTTAGTCCTAAAACCACTTAGCAACTGTATCACATTTCCAGGCGGAACTAACTTGAGCTATTTGTAAGGCTAGGTTATAGCCAGGAACAAGGTTAAGAAAACTTGGGGCCAGGCTAATTGTTGGGTTTTTTTCCTCCTGTATTTTCCTTTCATGTTTTTTTCCCCCTCCTCCACTATCCCCAAATCTGTCTTGAGAAATTTCTTGGGGAAGTTTACCTTTGTATTTGGCGATTTTCACTGGGGAGACTGTCAGGGAATAAGACAGACATGGTGTCCGCCCTCATGGGGCTCACAGCCTGGAGAGGAAGAAAGAGGCTCAATAAAGTGTTCCACACTTAAGTATCGACTTAGGGTTGAATAAAGGGGAGAAGGAGGAGCCTAACATAGACTGGGGTGCCACAGAAGGCTCCCCTGAAGAGGATGACCAGGAGTTACCTGGGAAGAGGAGGGAATTGACACCCGGGAAGGGGCCATTCCCACCCTCTCCCACCACACACACCCCTGCTCTGTTTCCATTCATTCCCAAATCTGGGCCCTCAAGATTGGTAGCCAGTTCCAAGGCCCATGGAAGTCCTGACTTTGAGTGGTAGGTCCCTATTAGTGTAACCCTCATCCCTCCTGCTGCAGTGGCCACCTGACCCAGCCCTGGGGAGCAGGAGGGAGAAGTGAGAGGGGGTGCTTCGGCCTTACCTAGCCCCCCAACCCCTCCCAGCCTCCATCGAGGGTGCCCCGCAGCTCTCCATGATGGGTCTGCTTCGCCACATCCTGTCCCAGGAGGGCGTGCTGGGCCTGTACCGGGGCATTGCCCCCAATTTCATGAAGGTCATTCCGGCCGTGAGCATCTCCTATGTGGTCTACGAGAACATGAAGCAGGCTCTGGGGGTCACATCAAGGTGAGAGCCCCCAAGGTCTCTTGCCCTGACCCGGTATCCCATACTGCTGTCCTCAGCCACCGCAGATGGAAGGCCCAACCAGTGGATCCTCGGTCCCTCCACCCCATCCTTGGATCCTTACACTTCAGTCACTGGATTCCCACGCCCCCGCTCTCTAGCTCCCCAGCCCAGCAACTCAAGTCTGATACCTGAACCACGGATCCAAAATTATCCACACCCTTCATCCTTATCCCCTAAATCACTGCACCCCACACCCCAAAGGTGGATCCCACAATTCCCTGTCCCACCCACTGGGTCCTGAGCCTCCCAAGTCTTAATCACTGGGTCCCCCACAATTCACTGAATGGATCCCCATAGCCCCAGCACCTCATCACCCAGACCTCTCAGTTACCGGTCTGCAGGCTGGGCAGCGCTGGGTCCCGGATCCCCAGCCTCACTTGCAACCAGATGGCCATGCCTGGCACCTGGCCTCTCCAAGCTCAGCCACTGGATTCTGGATATCAAGAAACCTCAGCCTCTGGATCCTGACGGTGCAATGCCTGGATCCTGGGGGCCCGCCACTGGGTCCCATCTCCCCTACTACTGGATTCCTGGGTTCACTTACCTTGACTGGGTCCCAGGTCCTTCTGCTCTGACTGCCGGATTCCTACACACAAGCCCTGTGTCCACCCCTCCACTGACACCGTCACTGAATCCCAGGTTCCCAATTCCCACCCCTCTGGATTCTGGCTCCCAGAACCACAAATGAGCGAGCTCGGGACTCCGCGGCTGCAGCTGCAGGATCCCAGGTTCCTTCATCCCAGTCATGGATGCTGAAACCTAGTCCACAGAACACAGACCCTGTTCCAAACAGGCCCTGGGTACCACCATCCTTAACGCTCAGAAACCCAGTCTGAGTCCTAACAACCCAGGTACAGCCTCCCTGGTACCACACACCCCCATCCCAAACCAGCCCTGGAGCCTGCTCCCCACGGAGCCACAAGACGCAGGGTGCCCTGCGGGAAGCCCAGCCATGGCCGACTCCAGACAACCTGGTCTGTCCGGGGGGGGGCCGTGATGTGGCCCACCACCACCACCACAAAGCAAGGGGAGGGCTGTGTGACCCAAGGCCCAGAATGCTGGGTTCCCCCCACCCACCTCAGCATGGCCACACACCTCCCGGCCCCGCCTTGCGGGGAAGCTGCCCCTCCCCCACCTACACACACGCACAAGCCCCTCTGGGTGGGAGGTGGCAAAGAGGCAGTCTTAGTCCAGGACATACTAAGGGGACCCCCGCCCCTGCACTGCCAGTCCCTCCCGAGCTTCAGAGATTTACAAGCCAGGAACAAATCTACATAGAACACCCTTCCCAGTTACGCAAAACAGACATCCCAAAACTCACTCGGGGGTCTATTTTTCTACCAGAGAGAGCAGCAAAGCCCCGCCCCACCAACCCACTCCCCCACGTCCATACTTTCTGCACTTTATACTGAGCTTAGGAAAACTGGGGGTCCCCTCTCTTTACTCCCCAGTCTTTGGGGGTCCCCAGTAAGAGTGAAAGAAGAACTGAGATGTTGGGGGCTGGAGGACACCTCCATGGCTTCCCCTCCCCCACCGACACCATGCCCCACCTCTCTCTGCCTGTGTGTATTATTTCAAAGGAAATGACGAACAGAATAAATTTTCCAAGCTCTCTCATTGTTTTTGTTTTTCTGAAGGGGGAGGTGGCATGACACCACATCAAGTACCCACAGGGGTGGGGCTCAAGCGGCTCCTGCTAATCCTAGCTACTTGGGAGGCTGAGATCAGGAGGATCAAGGTTGAAGGCCAACGCAGGGAACTACTTCTTGAGACCCCCATCTTCAAAATAACCAGAGCAAAATCAATTGAAAGTGTGGCTCAAGCAGTTGAGTGCCTGTTTTGCAAGTGTGACGCCCTCAGATCAAACCCCGGTACTATCAAAAAAAAAAGTAATTCAAGTTCACTATAGAAAAAATAAAAATACAGAATATATAGAAAGACAGAAGAATGATTAGATGAGAGAGAGAGAAAGAGAGAGAGAGTTGACTGTCTATAACCACAGATTACGTATCCATGGATTCAACCAACCTCAGATGGAATTTTTTTTCCCACCGCTTGAGCCACACCTCCAATCCATTTTTCTCTGGTTATTTTGGAGATGGGGTTTCACTGTTTCTCCGGGTTGGCCTTAAACAGCGATCCTCCCAATCTCAGCCTCCCAAGTAGCTAGGAACCAGGATTACAGAACAGGAGTGAGACACCAGCACCCAGATTTTTTTTAATCTTTGAGACAGGGTCTCCCTATGTAGCCCAGGCTGGCTTCAAACTGGCTATCCTCCTGCCTCTACCTCACAAGTGCTGGGATTACAGATGTGTACTACCACACCAAGCATGATTACACACAATAGCTAGCCAACACAGATCCACATATATACGTAACATTTTTCACACAGTCAAATAAAAGATCCAATCTTTTTTGTTGCTTTTTTGTTTTTCTTGCATTACTGAGGCTTGAACTCAGACTACACCTTGAGCCACTCCACCAGCCCTTTTTTGTGAAGGGTTTTTTCGAGATAGGGTCTCACGAACTATTTGCCCAGGGCTGGCCTCAAACTGTGATCCTCCTGATCTTTGCCTCCTGAGTAGCTAGGATTACAGGCGTGAGCCACTGGCACCCAGTTTAAGGTATCCAATCTTGCTAACTATTTTGCACTTTTACTTCCTCTAAATTCTATCTATATCCCCAAGACTCATTCCTAGAAGTGGAGTTGTTGAGTGAAAGGATATACTTTCCTCAGGACCATGCCACCAGAAGAATTGTACACAATCTACACAGCTATCAACAAGAAGGGAGCATGACCAATTTTACAGAGGCCATGCCAGCACCAACCGTTACTGGTTTTGCTCTTATTTAAGTAGGCTGGTTAACAGCCACTTTCCTGTACATATTCTCATATGCATCACAGCATGGCTGGAATTTAGGAGGTCTGCAAAGTGACGAGCGGTGTGTATCAGTCAGCGCTCTGCGGCTATAACACAAAATGAGATAACCAATTTAGACATAGAAAAGTTTTATTTTGGCACAGTTTTAGAGGTTTCATCTATGATCAGTTGGCACCTTTCTTTAGTCTGTGGCTGCACATCCATGGCAGGAGTATGTGGATGGTTGGAAAGCAAAACAGGGAAAGATGGAAGAGGCCAGGCTCCCACGATCCCCAGGCATTCATTTCCCCAATGAATGTAAGCCCCAGTAAGCCCGCCTCTTAGAGGTGCAGCCACCTCCCAATAATGCCAAGCTGGGACCAAGCCTTTAATACATGGGCCTTTGGGGGACGCTAACAATGAGATAGCACAGTGTGACCTCAGATGACCTGCTTTTCTCTAAGCCTCAGTATCACTACGACAAAATAAGAGGGGTTTCGCTCATACCTTTAAAGGGAAAAGAACTTCCATTTGTTGAACAGAAACATGCGGCCTGCCCCATGCTAGGGCTTTCGTGTTATGCACTCATTCATAATATATTTACAGAGCACTCACTATGTGCCAGCCTTGGTCCCAGACATGGGATACAGAAGTGAACAGAATAGACAAAAATTTGTTCTCATGGACCCTACATTATAGTGGGGAGGGACCAAGAATAATCAAGTAAATATCAGCAGTGTAGAAAGCATGGGTGTTATGGGTAAAATAAAGACAGAAAGGGAATAACAAATACTCCAGGGCAGAGATTAAATTTTAAATAGAGTGGTCTGGGAGGCCTCACAAAGGTGACATCTGACTGAAGATTAAAAGGTGGTGAGAGAGGGAGGCATGGGGATAGCTAGGGAAAGCAGATAGAAGGCAGAGGGCACAGACCATGCAAAGGCCCTGGAGCAGGATGGAGCCTGGTGTGTTGGAGGAGCAGGGAGGAGGCCTGTGTGGCTGGAGCAGAGGAAGAGAGAGGGACAAAGGGAGGAGGGAGGCAGGGAGGGGACAGGCAGGTCCTGCAGGGAGGACTTGGGCTTTGACCCTGTAGGAAGTGGGAGCCATGGATGGCTGTGGGCAGAGGAAGGATGGACCTGACTTGGTGCTCACAAGGGACTTGTGGGGGTATACGGAAGCAGTGACAGAGAGGACAAGGCTGGTGGCTGCAGACATGGGAAACAGCAGCCAGATTCTAGATATATTTTGATGGTTAACCCAAGAGGATATGATGACTGAGTGGACATGGAAAAAAATACTTAGGAAGTCAAGGTTGTTTTTTTTTAACCTAAACCCATTGACAAAACTACGCTGTGGAACCTATCCTTCCTTCCAGCTTCCAGAAAGAGAAAGCAAACTGGGGTGCTGTTTGAGAAAAGTGCAAACAGCACCCCAGTTTGCACTGCAGGAAGTGTTCAAGACAGAGGGCAGGGGCATGGTCAGAGTGAGGAAGTGATCAAGATTCATCAGGTGCTGGTGGCTCATACCTGTAATCCCAGCTACTCAGGAGGATCAAGGTTTGAAGCCAACATGGATAAATAGTTCTTGAGACCCTATCTTGAAAAGATCCATCACAAAAAAGAGCTGGTGGAGTGGCTCAAGGTGCAGGCCCTGAGTTCAAGCCCCAGTACCACAAAAAATAAAGAAATAAATAAAAAGCTGCATTCAAAGTCCATTCCATCAGACCCAAATATATGCTTGTCTCTCATCTCTCCCGAGGCCCCAGAGCTCCTCTTTTTCTGTCCCTCCCCTCTCCTGTGGGGACAATGCAGCCCAGTGCATGTTTCTCAAAACAACCAAATGTGTTATTTTGAGATCAGAAATCTTCGAGAGGTGTCACTAGCTAAAATCAAGGAGTTTGCAAGTTCTGGTGACTCTAAGGGAGAATCATCTTTGCCTCTTATGGCTTTTACAGCTTCTGGAAGCCACCTGTGTTCCTAGGCTGAGATCACTTCCTCTGTTCTCAAAGCCAGCAATGGCTGGTCCAGTTCCCATACCTTGTCATCTTACACTGCGCCATTCCAAATGAAAATCTACACATACACACACACACACCTGCTGCCCATGTAACCAATGTGTTTTGTCTGCTCAGACTGCTATAACAAAATCCCCTAGACTGGGTGGCTTAAGCAACAGGTATTTACCCTCCTAGTTCTGGAGGCTGTAAGTTCAAATCAAGGTTGTGGCTGGTTCTGATGCTGGTGAGGGCCTTCTTCTGGGCTTGCAGATGGCTGTCTGCTTGCCAAATCCTCACACAGTAAAGAGAGAGGCAGAAGGATAAAGTGTGTGTTTCATTTCTCCCTCTCCTTCTCTTGTAGCACTAGGGTTTGAACTCAGGACCTCATGTTTGCTAGATAGGTGCTCTACCACTTGAACCACTCTGCCAGCCCTTTTTATTTTTTGGATAGGGTCTCACTTTTACACCTGGACCACAATCCTATTTATGCATCCCATGCATCCAGCTTTTTCATTGATTTGGGATCTCGTACACTCCCCTCCCACCCTCACCCCAGGGCTGGCCTCTAACCTCAATCCTCTCTCCTGAGTAGCTGAGATTACAGGTGTGAGCCACTGTGCCCTGCTTCTCTTCCTTTTCTTATAAGGCCATTAAACACATCATGGGGTCTCACCCTCATGACTTCATCTGACCTTAGTTACCTCCCAAAGACCCCACCTCCAAATTCTACCCCATTGGGACTGAGGGGTTCAACGTGAGAATTTTGTCTGGCCTGAATTCAGACCACAACAACATGTAGTCACAGGCTCAGGGCATCTGGACATGGACCACCATTCTGCCTACAACACCCAATGAGGTCACAAGGGCTTCTGTGACCTCAGCATCCCCCGAACTCCAAATTTACAAAGCATTCTTACTGGCTACTCCCACATGGTAGCTGGATAGGAGTACTGTCCAAGTGCCCTAGTCCTCAGCCACCATGGGAACTGGTCGTGAAGAAACACAAAAACCTTGTTCCAGGGTCCAGACTCTGTTTAAGAGGATCAAGGACCTACTCACCAAAGCCTCCCTTCCGCCCCCACCCCAGCCCCCACCCACCTGGAACCCAGGCTGCACACATGTATATGGGTATGTGTTTGGGCACGTGACTGACAACCACCTTGATCTTCCGTCCCAACAGGTGAGTGGGGGATGTATGCCAGTGCCTCCAGCCTGGACAGCTGGGGAAGACCATGCAGTCCACACCATAAGTAGTGCTCACTCCCCTCTGAGCAGGTGATGGAGGGGTTGGATTGCCTGGAGACGCACATGGGAAAAGGGCTCCAGTGTGCTGAGTTCAGGAAGGGATGGGTCTGGCCTCAGGTGCTGGATACAGGAGAGCAGCTGATGGTCCCTGTGGAGGTACTGGAAGTGGATAACCAGGGAGCCTTGTGGAAGTTTCTGCTGTCCGGAGCCATGGCTGGGGCGGTATCTCGCACGGGTACAGCCCCTCTGGATCGTGCCAAGGTCTACATGCAGGTGCGTGGGGAGAATGGTGCTGGAGCCCTGGGGGACATCATGAGTGGAGATTGGCAGTGATGGTGTTGAAGGAATTCAGGTTGGAGGTAAGGCTGCAGGTGGGGCTGTCATGTGGTGCTGAGACAGAATCCTAGCCAGGAGTGGTAGTGCACTTCTATAATCCCAGTCACTCAGGAGGCAAAGGTAGGAGGATGGAGGCCAACCCAGGCAGACGTGGGAGACCCTAGCTGAAAAACACACTAAAAGCAAAAGGGCTAGTGGAGTGGTTCAAATGGTAAAGCATCTACCTAGCAAGTGGAAGACCGAGTTCAAACCCCAGTAAGGGGGCAGGGGCAGGGGAAGGGGACCAGAAAACCTTTCCATGCATGGGGACCAACACAGGGCCAGGGTAGGTTTAGAGATCCTCTGGGCCCTCGCCCCGCCCCCCAGGTCTACTCCTCCAAGACTAACTTCATGAACTTGCTGGGAGGTATCCGGAGCATGGTGCACGAGGGGGGCGTGCGCTCCCTGTGGCGGGGCAACGGCATCAACGTGCTCAAGATCGCCCCCGAGTACGCCATCAAGTTCTCAGTCTTCGAGCAGGTGAAGAGCTCCAACCCCAACCCCCCCTCCCCGGGCCCCCACCTAAGCAAGGCACACATTCACCTCCGGACCCAAGACCCTTCTCCCTAGATGGCTTGCAGGCAGGAGGGTGGCTGGCTTCTCTCACACCCCCTCCCTCTCTCCCATCCCAGTGCAAGAACTTCTTCTGCGGTGCGCACGGGTCCCCGTCCTTTCAGGAGCGCCTCCTCGCGGGTTCCCTGGCTGTGGCAATCTCCCAGACGCTGATCAACCCCATGGAGGTAGGAGGGTGGCCGCCCCACATGGCTGCCATGTCCCTCCTCCTGTTTCTTTCCCTTCTCCTCCCTCTTCCTCCGTGTTCTTCCCCTCCAATTCTTTCTCCTTCTTCCTCTTCTCCCCCTTCTGCTTCTTCCCTTGCTCCTCCTTCTGCCTTTTCCCTCCTCCATGCTCTCCCCCACCAATTCTTTCTCCTCTTGCCCTTCTCCTCCTTCCCTTCCTCCTCCCTCCTCCCCTTTTTCTTTGCCCTCTGTTTCTTTCCACTCCTCCTCTTTCCTGCCTCCTCTACCTCTCCTCCTCCTTGCTTGTCCCCTTTCCTTTTTCTTCCCCCTCCTCTTTCTACTCCACCTCCTTTCCTCCTCTTTTCTTCCTCTCTTTTTTTTTGGGGGGGGGGTGGCAGCACTGGGGTTTGAACTCAGAGTCTCATGCTTGCTAGGCAGATGCTCTACCAATTGAGCCACTCTGTCAGTCCCACTGCCCCCTTTTTGGTGGGACTGAGGTTTGAACTCAGGGCTTCACACTTGCAAAGCAGGTGCTCTACTGTTTGAGCCACACCTCTAGTCCTCTCTTTCCTCTTCCTCCTCCTTGCTTCTCCTCTCTTCCTTTTTCTTCCCTCTCTTCTTTCTCCTTTTTTCCTCTTCCTCCATTTTTGTCCTGCCTCTTCCTCTTCATCTCTCTCCTCCTCCTCCAGTTTCTTGCTGTGAGATAGGCATGGAGCTTTCACTCCAGCCACTCATTTCACAGTTTACTGAATGGTCTGTTCCTTCTCCCCAACCATCCAGGATGCTCCTTGGTAGCTGGGCGCTGTGACTAATGCCTGTAATCCTAGATACTCAGGCAGTGATCAGGAGGATCTGGGTTCAAACGCAGTCCAGGCAAATAGTTCAAGAGATCCTATCTCAAAAACCCATCACAAAAAAAATGGCTGGTGGAGTGGTTGAAGCAGTGCGAACACCTGCCTAGCAAGCGTGAGGCCCTGAATTCAAACCCCAGTGCCGAAAAAAAAAAAGTTGAACAGAAAGTCGAGTTCCCATAGACCTCTCCCTTTCCCCATAGACAGAAAGTTTCCACACCTGTTATTAACGTGCATTACTGTGTATCTGTTACAACTGATGAAACAAATCGATACATCATCATTATGGTTATTATTACTGGTGGTGGTAGTAGGCTTTGCACTCAGGCTTTGCAGCTGCTCTGCCACTTCAGCCATGCCCCTAGCCCTTTAGATTGTAGGTATTTTTTCAATCGAATCTCATAAATGCAGAGCCAGCCAGGACCAAAATCCTGTTTACACTCCCCACCCTAGCTAGGATTACAGGCATCAGCCACCACGCCTGGCTGCTACATTATTAATGAAAGCCCATGGTTTATGTTAGGGTTGCATTAGGGTTTTTAGGTCGTTTTATGGTTCTAAGAGTTTGACAACTGTATAGTGTCCACATGAATAGTTGCAAGCCTTTTCTTTCTTTCTTTCTTTCTTTCTTTCTTTCTTTCTTTCTTTCTTTCTTTCTTTCTTTTCTTGTGGTACTGAGGTTTGAACTCAGGGCCTTCACCTTCAGCCACTCCACCAGTCCTTTTTTGTGATGGGTTTTTTCAAGATAGGGTCTTGAGGACTATTTACACAGCTGGCTTCGAACTACAATCCTCCTGATCTCTGCCTCCTGAATGGCTAGGATTAACAGGAGGGAGCCACTGGCACCTGGCAAAAGCCACCATTTTCTACATATTTGTAGAACTACACTAGTTCTTTTTGGGAGCAGTGCCAACCGGTGACCAATCACCTCCCGCTGAGATCCACTTCTTAAAGGCTCCATAGTACCACTCACTTTATCACACTGGGGACCAAGCTTCCAACAACAATCCCTGGGGGACGCAAGCCATATCCAACTATAGTTTTGTACTGCTATACAGGTCCTCTACCACTTAAACCAGTACACCAGCCATTTTTTCTGTAGTTATTTCTCAGGCAGGGCCTCGGGTTTTGCTTGAGATGGCTCGGATTGAGATGTCTCCTGAGTAGCTAAGATGACAGGTGTCCACCATTAATGTCCAGTGCAGTTTTGCTGCCTTTTTTTTTTTTTTTTGGTAGGACCAGGGTTTGAGCTCAGGGCTTTGCACTTACAAAGCAGGTGTTCTATGCTTGAGCCACATCTCCAGTCCATTTTGTTCTGGTTATTTTTTTTTTCATTTTGTTCTGGTTATTTTTGGAGATGGGGGTCTCACCAACTATTTGCCCAGGTTGACCTCAAACTACAATCTTCCCGATCTCAGCCTCCCAAGTAGCTAGGATTACATGCATGAGGCACCAGTGCTTGGATAGTTTTGCATCTTTAATACCAGAAGGACTGGGATGTGGCTTATTGGTGAGCACTTGCCTAGCATGCCTGAAGCCCTGGGTTTCATTCCCAGCACCACAAAAAGAAAAACCACCAAATGTGGAGTGTACGTCCTGTCTCTGATCTTTTGTTTCTGGTGACAGACAATCAATGACTGCACCCTTTGATTAGAAGAGGTCACTGCAGAAAATTTTTTTCATTATCTGAAAGTCAACTGATGAGCCCAGTGGTTCATGGCTATAATCTCAGCATTCGAGAGGCTGGGGCAGGAGGATGTTGAGTTTAAGGCCATCTTGGGCTAACATAGATTGGGGCAGGGGATGGAGAAGGAAAAGGAAGAGAAAGAGAGAACCATGCACTGGTGGCTCACATCTGTAATCCTCCTGCTGTTTGAAGCCAGCCTGGGCAAATAGTTTGTGATGCCTATCTGGGAAAAATCCATCACAAAAAAGGGCTGGTGGAGTGGCTCAAGGTGTAGGCCCTGAGTTTAAACCCCAGTATTGCCCACCCCCCAAAAAAAGAGAAAAAGCAAAAAGAAGGAAGGAAAGATAGATAAATGTGGCTCACGTCTGTAATCCTAGCTACAGAGGAGGTAGAGATCAGGAAGATCATAGTTCAAAACCAGCCTGGGCAAATAGTTCAAGAGACCCCATCACAAAAAAGGGCTGGTGGAATGGTTCAAGTGGTAGAACCTGCCTAGCAAGTATGAGGCCCTGAGTTCAAATTCCAGTACCACCAAAAAAAAGGAAAGAGAAAGAGAGAGGGAAGGAAGGAGGGAGGGAGGAAGGAAGGAAGGAAGGAAGGAAGGAATGGGGGAGGGAGGGAAGGAGGGAGAGAGAAACAAAGAAAGAAAGAAAGAAAGAGAGAGAAAGAGAAAGAAAGAAAGAAACATATATTGAGGTTCACAGTTCTGGAGGTTTAAGAGATCGTACATATCAGTGGCTTCCTTGCTGGCAGTCCCCAGGTGGTACAGGGAACACATATGTCTCTCCCTCTTCTTATAAACCCACCAGGATTCAACCATAGGGATTCCACCCCATGACCTTACCTAATCCTAATCACTTCCCGGAGGCACCTCCTCTAAACGCTGTAGTCAGATTAAGTTCCAGCACTTAAGTCATGATAGGGATTGCATCTTGGGGGGGACAGTTAAATCACATTCAAACCATAGTAGCAGCCATCCTAGAATTGTCCTTGCTACAGTAGGTAGTAAAAACACAGTTGTAGAGTTTCTGATATTTGAGTATTAGATAATTTCATAAAAATTCTGGCTTCTGAAAATTGCCAGATCTGGCCACCTGGGGCCTGCATTCCACAGCAGAATATTTGGCTGGCCAAGGTCACAGCTAGCACAGACCTCATTTGGCTCTTTATTTATTTTTTCAGTACTGGGTCTTGCATTCAGGGCCTTCACCTTGAGCCACTCTACCAGCCCCCCTTTTTTTTTTTTTTTAAATGAAGGGTTTTTTGAAATAGAGTCTCACAAACTATTTGCCCGGACTGACTGTGAACTGAGATCCTCCTGATCTCTGCCTCCCGAGTAGCTAGGATTACAGTATAAGTCACCAGTGCCTGGCACTCATTTGGCTTTTGTCCCTCCCTAAAATCTGTGAGGCCCTGTGTTTTCCCAAGCACCACAAAACAAAACAGCTGGGCACCGGTGGCTGCTGAGGAGGCTGAACTCAGGAGTTTGCAGTTCATGGTTCAAAGCCAGCCTGGGCAAATAGTTTCAACGACCCTATCTCCATAATAACCAGAACAAAATGGATTGGAGGTGTGGCTCAATTGGTACAGCACCTGCTTTGCAAGCTCAAAGTCCTGAGTTCAAACCTCAATCCCACCAAAATAAAACAAAAAGCCTGGGTAGTGCTTCCTATCTGTCATTTCCTTTTGTTTCTCTTTTCTTCTGCCTTTTTCTTTTTTTTTTTTTCATTGGGGTTTGAACTCAGGGCCTACACCTTGAGCCACTCCACCAGCCCTTTTTTTGTGATTTTTTTTCTAGATAGGGTCTCACAAACTATTTGCCCAGGCTGGCTTCAAACCACAATCCTCCTGATCTCTGCTTCCTGAGTAGCTGGGATTACAGGCATGAGCCACATGTACCCAGCTTGCTTGCTTGCTTTGGTGGTACTGGGGTTTGAACTCAGAGCCAGGCATTTGCTAGGCAGACACTCTACTGCTTGAGACACACCCCTTGTTCCTGTCTTGACTTCTTGTCTCTGGTGACAGACATTCAATAATGACTGCACTATTTGATTAGGTAAGGCCACTCCAGACAATTCTTTTTCTTTTTTTTTTTTAAGGCGGCACTGGGGTTTGAACTTAGGTCTCATGCATGCTAAGCAGCTAGGCAGGCACTCTTATCACTTGAGCCACTCCACCAGCCTTTTTTTGTGAGGGGTTTTTCAAGATAGGGTCTTGTGAACTATCTGCCTGGGGCTGGCTTCAAACCATGATCCTCCTGATCTATGCCTCCTGAGTAGCTGGGATTACAGGCGTGAGCCACTGGTGCTGGCTCAGACATCATTACCTGAACATCAGTTGATGAGCCAGCATTGCTTAGTTTTGTCCCCACTTGAACTTCAAAACTTGAATTCAGGGAGCAGACACAGCAGGGAACAAGACAGATCTGGGCTAATACCCAGCTCTTTGTCTTCCTGGCCTGGGTTTCATTTGCAGGACAGGAACACAATGGTCACTGCCTAGGGTCATGGAGAAGATTAAATCAGACAAGCTGCCTCACTCCCCTCTCCTACCCCCAGGTGCTAAAGACCAGGCTGACCCTGCGCCGGACTGGCCAGTACAAGGGGCTGCTGGACTGTGCCAGGCAGATCCTAGAGCACGATGGCACCCGCGCCCTCTACCGCGGCTACCTACCTAACATGCTGGGCATCGTCCCCTACGCCTGCACAGACCTGGCTGTCTACGAGGTGTGCGCCCCATGGGGAAGGCTGGAGCCCAGCCTATAGTGGGCTTTCTCCAGTGACTTTCTGTTTCTATGAATACTTAACACACTTTTAATTGGCACAGTTTTATGTATTCATAGGATACATTTCAGTCTATGTATGTCTTCTCAGACATAATTTCTTTGTGTTGAGAACATTCAAAATCCTCTCAATTGTTGTGGAGGGGGAGTTTTTTGTTGTTGTTGGGTTTTTTTTTTTTTTCAAAACAGGGTCATGATCCTCCGCTTCAGTTTCCCTAGTACTGGGATTAGAGGTATGCACCTCCACACCTTGCCCTATTAGCGATTCTGAAATAGACAATAAATTGTCCTCAACCATGGTTATCCAACTGCACTACAGAACATCAGAGGTTATTCTTCCTACCCAACAGCACCCTGGTATCCACTAACCCTCCTCTCCCCCTGCTGATTCTGGTAACCACTATTCTACTCTGTACTTTTATGAGATCAAAGATGTTAGCTTCCACATATAGTGAGATCATGTAGCATTTGTCTTTCTGTACCTAGCTTACTATATGTCCTCCAGTTCCTCCACATTGCTGCAAATAACAGGACTTTGTTCTTTTTATGACTAAATACTATTCTATCATGTATATAGACCACAATTTCATTCATCTGCTGACGGACACCTGGGCTGATTCCAAATCTTGACTTTATGAATACCATTCTTGTCTTCTTCTTTGGCAGATGATCCAGAGCTTGTGGCTGAAGTCCGGCAGGGACATGGAGGACCCCGGTGGTCTGGTTAGCCTATCATCTGTGACTCTGTCCACGACCTGTGGCCAGATGGCCAGTTACCCACTGACTTTGGTGCGCACACGGATGCAGGCAGAAGGTCAGCCTAGCCCTAGTGGCTACCAAGCATGCCCCTTCCCTGCCTTGGAGTTTTCTTATTGTCCTAAACTAACTCCCAGATTCTCCACATCTGATCTTGGGCACTTTCACCAAGCCTTATTATTCTTACCCCCAATCTGACCCCAGCCCCCCAATTGACCCTTTAAAAATCAGTAATACTAAGCCAGGTGCCGGTGGCTCACGCCTGTAACCCTAGCTACTCAGGAGGCAGAGATAAGGAGGATCGCGGTTTGAAGCCAGCATAGGCAAACAGTTTGTGAGACACTATCTCGAAAAAATCCTTCCCCAGCCAAAAAAAAAGGGGGTTGGGGAGGCGGCTCTGGTGAGGTGGCTCAAGGTGTAGGCCCTGAGTTCAAACCTCAGTACTGCCAAAAAAAAAAAAATCAGTAATACTAATACCCATCTCCCAAATGACCTCCACAAACTCCTCCAAAATGTGACCCAGACTCCCACGCTGACCACAAAGACAGCCCCCCAAACAACCTCTCAAATCAGACCCAGCAGCTTGCCTCTTTCCCCACAGACACGGTGGAGGGCTCCAACCCCACCATGCGTGGAGTCTTTCAGCGGATCCTGGCCCAGCAGGGCTGGCCGGGGCTGTACCGAGGCATGACTCCCACGTTGTTGAAGGTGTTGCCCGCAGGTGGCATCAGCTACATGGTGTACGAAGCCATGAAGAAAACCCTGGGTGTAAAGTGACACACCCTGGACAGAAAAGGACTGGAAGACCCAGTGTCCCTGGGTACCGAAGAGCCCTCCAGGCTCAGGGCCCAGGGCAGTTTTTGGTTATGAAAGCCAGCTGGGGGCCCTGATTAGAAGAATCCTGAGGCTCCCTCTCAGGGTGCAGCCTGAGACCTGAGTTTGGACTCAGATCTTGCCTCTACTGGTTCGTCCTGGCTCCAGGGCTAAATGGTGAAGGTGCAGACAACTAGGAATAAAGATTATTTCTGTTGGGAATGTCTGGGATAGCTGGGTCTAGAAGGGAAAACTGAGAACCTCGGATTCTTGGGTCCAGGATGAGAGCAAGGGTATCACTTATGTGAAGTGAGAAGAAGGGTGGAGTTAGGAGCTGAGAAACAGTCCTTGGAGGGCATAGAGTGGGGAAAGGAGTTGGCTCCATGAGCCCTGGAAAACGGGTGGGGTTCTAGATCCCTGGGGGAGAGAGAAGAGGGGACAGGGGATCCCAGAGTTTCCTCCAGCTTTCGGGCTACCACATCCCTCGGGATCACTGATCCAAAAAGCTTCAAGCAGGCCACGTGCCGGGTCTATCCAGGTAAGCGCTGGAGCGCTAACCCAAGACGTCAGGCCTGAGTTCCAGCAGCCGGTCACCAGCGCCCACGTAGACTGCCATTCACTCCGGCTCCCGCTAATCCCCTCTCTCCGCCTGGCAGCTGGCTACGCCCCAATGCAGCTATGCTTCCACTGGTTCCCACAAAAACGGGGTAATTTACTTCTTTCATTGCTATTTGTCCATAGTAATGTCAGTCACCTAATGCCCGCCCCTGTCGCCCAGCCATTGGTTTGGAAGCCAGGGCTGGAAAAGGATTCCGGTTAACGCGGAAAGCAATTGAAGTCCAAATCCAAGCTCATCACCCAGAACTCGTCAGGGATTAGATTAAGTTGACTGCCAATCTTTAAAAGCACCGCCTTTCTCCTGTATTCATTGGCTTGTGTTCACGACTATCACGCTGAGCGCCCGGCCCACCCGTCCAACAGGGTCTTTCTCTAAGCCCCTCCTTCCAGTCCACATGACTCTTCCGAACCATCTTAATTCTGAAGCCGCCCCGCGAATCTAGAACTCACGCTTATTGGGCCTCTTGTCTTCTCGAATCGCCCCCGATTTGCCCGCCCAGCGCCGGTAGCCCGCGGCCTATTGCCTTCAAGAGCTGTCAATCACTGGATACCTCCCGCCCAGTGCCTCTCGCGGTACTCCGATTGGTTGTTTGACCCCAGCGCTCACGATTGGTGTGCGTGCAGCGACGGCCGCTTCCCATTGGTCCGTCAGCACCGTCCGTCACGCCGCCGCGGGAGGGGGCGACCCAGTCCCCCCCACCGTCGTCTTCCCAGCCGCTGGGTTCCCAGAGTGCTCTGCGGCCGTGTGGAGCGAGGCCTTGTTCCCGCGTTGAGCCGCCGCCGCCACCGCCGCCGCCTCCTCAGCTTCAGCCTCCGCACCAGGCCCGGCCCCGCCGCGCCATGTCGGACTACAGCACAGGAGGACCCCCGCCCGGGCCGCCGCCCCCCGCAGGCGGGGGCGGGGGAGCCGGGGGTGCCGGAGGAGGCCCTCCCCCGGGCCCAACGGGCGCGGGGGACCGAGGCGGCGGTGGCCCCGGCGGCGGCGGTCCGGGCGGTGGGTCGGCCGGGGGCCCCTCGCAGCCGCCTGGTGGGGGTGGCCCGGGGATCCGCAAGGACGCCTTCGCGGACGCCGTGCAGCGCGCCCGCCAGGTGAGGAGGCCACGGGCCCGAGGGGCGCGCGCGGGCGGGGGAGGGGGCGGGGGTCACGTGCGCGGGGTCGCGGGGAGGGGCACCCGGGGCCGCCGCGGGGTCACGTGGGCGATAGGCTGGGGGTTTGGCCCTCCTGAGTAGCCTCGGGTCGGATCCCCTCGGGTGACTCCCCTGAACCGGTAGGGGGATACCGGGGTGGGCAGGGGATCTGGGGGTCAGGGACTCACTTGTTGGGGAATACCTCCTAGGACACAGGCATGTTCCACTGTTCCTGGAGACCAAGGACCCACCTACCTTGGTGAAGGGTCTTGCTTTGGGCCCACACTCCACACCAGGGCAAAGAGCATGTTCGACTTCAACCTATTCCCATTTCTGACCCCTCCCTGGGAAGAAGGGAGTTGGCGGGGGGGGGGGGTCCTTCCTCTTGAGCCTGGAAAGTGGACAGAGAACCCTTTCGCAGTCGCAGTGGCCGAGCATTTGGGCGAAATGGAGAAGGTGGAAATAGCTACGGGCCCGTCGAGGTTTTGGATACTTTGAAAGCGTGGTCTTTTCTTTGGGAAAGGGGAGCGTCCCACCGCCGTGTTTTGAGGCGTGATGACAACATGGACGTGTCACATGCTGGTGTGACCGACCTCCCCAGCTTCACTCGCAGTCTCCTGGCCCTGGAGGGGTGGGGGCCCTAAGTAAGAGAGGACTTTGCTGCCGACCCAGGAAGCCAACCCGTATGGGCTCCGGTTGATTGTGGCACCCTGGGGTTGTCCCTATGCCTCAGGACTGAGGATTGGCTCCTCCCAAGGTGGGAGGACCCGTTAGGTGACTGCCTGCCTGGGGTTCTCCCCGTGTGGTCTCCTGCTTCCTTGCTATGCCCCATCCCCAGAGTCTTGATTCCGTGGCAGCTTTCACTGGGGACCTTGATGTTTAAGTTGAGGTGGTACATACCTTTGTATAGGGGGCATTCTAAGAGCTGTGGCTTGAGACAAACATTTAAATAAAAAAGTTGGAAAGACATCCTGAGCTCAGGGGTTGGATGCCTAAACCAGACTGTGATCTGAAATTTGTTGGCTGGATTGGGGTGGTTTATTTGAAGTTGTTCTTTGTGTGTCTTAAATGTGAGGTGTGTTCCCAAAGGTTTTGTTTTGGTCACATGAGGATCTCAGATGCCTCGAAGCCAAAACCTTCCTTGAATTTGTTCAGTATCTTTTTAGCAGAGCTTCTGAGGATGAGGGAAAAGTTGTCCTCAGCAGGCTGAAGTCACTTTCTGGCCCTTCTTGATGAGGCCTCCTGCAGGAGGAAGTGGCTGAAAGCTCTTGCTCACGGAAGTGACCCCAGGACCCTCCCTGGCACTTCATCCCTTAGAATGAAGTTAGTGTGCAGTACAACTTGGCTGCCAACAATTTCTGCACAGATGCTGCGGAGGATGGGAAAAAAGGAGATTTTTGAAGTTCCTAGATTAGTTGGGAGAACTTTGAGGGCTTCTGAAAAACTCCTTGCAGGATGTCTTGACCCACTGGCCAGACAGCAAGGCCTGTGGTACCCTGAGAAGTTTGGAACTTGGATGAGAGTTTCAGGTGGTCATTCTGTGTTTACTACTCTGTTCTAGATTGCAGCCAAAATTGGAGGCGATGCTGCTACAACAGTGAATAACAGCACTCCTGATTTTGGTTTTGGGGGCCAAAAGAGACAGTTGGAAGATGGAGGTAACTCCCAGTGGCCACTTTCAGTTTGGGAGGGAGGGCTGGAGGCAGAGGAGCGCTTTTGTCTGAGTGAAGGGGAACTGCTGCTGTTCACTCTTTGAAAACCCCGGTGATCCCAGCTTTGTTAATTCTTTTTGTTCTGTCAGCCACCCTGAGGTATCAGGTGGCTGAGAGGAGAGCAGGTTGATTGTGATCAGGGCAAAGTTGCAAGTTCCCAAGATCTGTGCTCCCCTTGTGGGAAGCTGGGGGACAGATTCAGGGCCAGCCCTAGGGCCTGCTATCACTGAGAAGGCAGCCAGTAGTCAGCTCTAACTTTATGAGGATATCTCCCCCTTTCTCCTGCAGGACCAGCCTTAAACTGAGGGTTTAGTGCCACCCTGCTTTAAAGGGTTCTGTTGCTCTGGGTGTTGGTGGTGGGCTTGAGGAAGTCTTGTCCCTGTGGGGCTGCCCCCTTCCACCCCAGTCTCAGCTCTCACACCAGGGCGGGGGCACTGTTTGCCTGGGATGTGTGGCAGCAGCACTGAGGCTGAGGCAGCGCGGGTGGGTGGTGCCACATCTGACATCCTCTGTCATCCACAGACCAGCCGGAGAGCAAGAAGCTGGCTTCCCAGGGAGACTGTGAGTCCATGGGGGTGCGCTCATGGGACAGCTTCAGTTTCTGGAAGTTTGGGGGAGTTGGGAGATAGAAGCACTAAGCAGATGACAGCTCTCTTTGTGGACAGCTCATGCTGCTCACATTTTGGGGGACCCGTGAGCTTTAGGGATCCCAGAACCCCCTGAAACTGAGGCCATAGAACTCTACATGTACTTTTGTGGGGAGGGGGCTGTGGGCGTGGGTGGTTACAGTGTCATGAGTTAGCCCTCGTGGGAGCAGGGTGCCTTGGGGTAGGCATGTGGTGCCCAAAGACAGCTAAGCTGGTCTTTCCTTGGGGATTTCTCTCTGCAGCAATCAGTTCTCAACTCGGACCCATCCACCCTCCCCCAAGGTAAGCTGAGCACACTGCTCTCTCAACTTCAACTCTGTCTCTGGCCTCCAACTCACTCAGAGGCTTCTGTTGGGGGCACATCATTCAGGCTTTCTCTCCAGACACTGGTGGGCCAGGGGTGCCCATGAAGGTGAACCCTGTGTGCTCAAGTATAAGCTGTAATGAGGAGCAGGTTGCAGCATACCTGTAATGAAATAGGGTGTTACCTGCTTGTGCTCCTCCACTCAGAAGCACAGACTGCTTGTCCTGGTCCTCCAAGGTTCAGCAGGATCTGGGAGGTTTTGCTACCATCTATGTCACCACCTCAGGTGGACCTGTAAATCTGACAGAAGTGTTGGCAAGGGCCACTTTGTCTTTTAATGGGACAGTAGCTTTGTAAACACAACAAAAGTGATTTAGGAGAAAAATGAGCAGGATATACAACCAATTTGGTTGTTACAGAATCAACAGACATAAACTGCTTGCTGCGAATGCCTAAGTGCTTGCTCTCGCCCTGAGGCAGTCGGACGCCACAGGCCACACTGACCCAGGCAGAGCCTCTTTGCATAGATGGGGATACTGTGGCCTTGAAGTTGTGTGACCTGCTGTGGGAAGAGGGGCCTGGTTGGCAGACTGTTGGGTCCTAGGATGCAAGTAGGGTTTTCAGCCTGAAGAATCATGTCCCAGGGGTAGGGTGGGATCTTTTTTCCAGCTTTTATTCTCTCCACTCCCCCACCCCCAGGCTAACTTTCAGTGTTTCTCTTCACAGGACTTCAATGACAGAAGAGTATAGGGTCCCGGACGGCATGGTGGGCCTAAGTGAGTGTGGGTCCCTATGGGGAAGAGCTGTGTCCTGTGAGCCTCCACCAGCCCAGAAGCCCTGGCTTGAGGGCCTCCTGTGGTCAGCTGTCCTTTGTCCCACTCTCCCCCTCTGGGCCAGGAGGATGGGGAGCTCTGGGAACTGCTACCGCCCCCTTGACATCCAAGGGTCCAGTGGGGAGCCCTTGCCTGCATCTCCTGAGTTCTGGGCTCCCTCAGCCAATCTCTGCTTTATGCTCCTTTTTTCTCCACCTAGTCATTGGCAGAGGAGGTGAACAAATTAACAAAATCCAGCAGGATTCAGGCTGCAAAGTACAGATCTCTCCAGGTACGGTAGCACTAGCTTCCTGCTGACACAGGGCTGGGGCTGGGGTGCATTCTTCAGTACTTCATTGTTTCCTGAGAGCTGTGGAAGTGAGGTGGGCTGGAGTTTTTTGAATGATTGCTGTATACCAGGCTTGGTGCAGTGTTGTAGCTGGTGCAGTTGTAGCTGTGACTTTTTCCTTTACAGTTGGGGAATGGGTTGAGGTGGAAAGTGTAGAATCCAGACAGCATGCTTCCAACCTGCAGTTAGGGTTGCCACCTGACTGAGCTGAAACACCCACAAAGGGTTAAGGGAGTCTTGTCAGACAAGTTGCTTGCTTCTCTGAACCTTGAGTTCCTGAGCTGCAAAACTCCTTTTGACTGTTGACTGTGGGATCTGTACGGGTGGGGGTGGGGGGGTGGTGTCCTAAGTCTTGGCCCTCTCGAATCTGCCTTTCTGTCAATTTTTTCTCTTAAAGTTCTTTTCATTATTGAATTTCTAGCTTTCTGACCTTAAGCATCCTTCTAGGCGTTTGGGAAGGTGGGTAAAGTAACTTGTCAGAAGTGACCACCAGCTGTTCTGGAACCTTACTCCTCTCCATGGCAGGCCTTTGGGGACTGACCCTGTTCCTTCTCTCTCCAGATAGCGGTGGCCTACCTGAGCGCAGCGTGTCCCTGACAGGAGCCCCTGAGTCTGTCCAGTAAGTGCATAGCTGGCTTTTGCAGTGGCGAAGGGAGCAGGCACAAACCCTCTCCTTCCCTTTGAGAGTTGGGAGTGACACTTTCACATGTCCTCCACTCTTGTCCTCTCTGGAGAACTGTGAACATAGATGGATTCCCCAGAATCCTAACATCTATGAAAGCTCAAAGCCTGAACAGCCCCATGCTGGCCCCTTTTTCTTGTCCTTTGCCACGTAACACTGGTTGAGGTCTCCTCCCCTTTAAGCTGTGGTATACCAGGCCAGTTCTGTTTCTGCAAGTGGCAGCACTCTGCTCTTCCCTTCCCAGGAAAGCAAAGATGATGCTGGACGACATTGTGTCTCGGGGTCGTGGGGGCCCCCCAGGACAGTTCCATGACAACGCCAACGGGGGCCAGAATGGCACTGTACAGGAGATCATGATTCCTGCAGGCAAGGCCGGCCTGGTCATCGGCAAAGGCGGGGAGACGATTAAACAGCTGCAGGTGACAGGCAGCTCCATTATACCCATAAAGTTCCTTCCTATATCTGCATAGTCCCGTCCCCATCCCAGTCCCCTCCAGCCCCAGTGTCCTGGAAAAGCCCAGCACTGACTGTTACCATTGATTGTCCAGGAGCGTGCTGGAGTGAAGATGATTTTAATTCAGGACGGGTCCCAGAACACAAATGTGGACAAGCCCCTGCGAATCATTGGGGATCCTTACAAAGTGCAGGTGAGCTCTCAAGGGCTGCTGGTAGGCGGGCAGTCATCCAGCTCCTCAAGCACCAAGACTGGACTTGTGGCAAAAACACCAGCCTTGAGGCCAGCCCTGCCTGTTCTGCCAAGCTGTCTCCCAGTCGTGTGTAGGCGAATAAGTGACCTTTCCTTTCTTATCTGGAAACTGGGGCTGCTAACAGCACCTACCATTAGGGTGGTAGGTACAGAGTGGCACAAGACACCATGCCCAGCTCTGCAGGGGCTTAGGGGTCTTGGCTGAGGCTGGGAGGGCTGATGCCTGGACAGCAGGGCTGCCTGTACCAACCAGGACTATGTTTGCAGCAAGCCTGTGAGATGGTGATGGACATCCTTCGGGAACGTGACCAAGGTGGCTTTGGGGACCGGAATGAGTATGGATCTCGAGTTGGTGGGGGTATCGATGTGAGTACTGATGGAGGGGACAGTTGGTGGGCATTGGCTCTTTATGGCCAGTGAGCAGCAGGGCTGGGGTTGGAGCTCAGTTAATTCCTGTGTCTCGGCTTCACCAGGTACCCGTGCCCAGGCATTCTGTTGGGGTGGTCATTGGCCGTAGCGGAGAAATGATCAAGAAGATCCAGAATGATGCCGGTGTGCGGATACAGTTCAAGCAAGGTCAGGACCATGTGGATGGGTTGATGGGCTCTTCTTCCAGTATCAGCTGCCCTCCCTAACAGGCAGACCCAGGCAGCACACTAGGTGGTATCCCTTGGGAAAGGCGGCCTCATTGCTTCTGACTCAGCCATTGGAACATGCCTTGTCTCTTCCCTCCTAGGACAGTCAGAGAGATGTATCCCCTTCCCCGTCCTGCAGCAAGTGGGCCATTCCCACAGGATAGCCTGGGGTCTGGATCAACGGCTGTCTCACTCCCCAGGCCCTTACCAGCTCTCAGTGAGGATCTCTAAGCAGCGTACCTATTAGCAAGGGACTCCAGCTAGTGCCTTTCAGAGATCTGTTAATTCTGGAAAATTGCTTGGCTAGCTCTAGAGCCCCAAAGGCAGAAAGAAGGAAGCCTCAACCACCCCCTAGGTGGGCTGGCCACAGTGCTCCCCCTGGGACTATGGGTCTGCCTCCTTTCAACCCTGGATCAAGTGAAGTTCAGAGAGCAGCACTCTGAGACTTGGCATGGATCTGGCTTGGCATGGTGCCTGCCCTGAGGGCGACATTGTGGGAGTTTGGAGTTTTGCTTTTCCTTTAAATTCATCTATCTCTTGGTGCTGGATGCAGATGATGGTACGGGACCTGAGAAGATTGCTCACATCATGGGGCCCCCAGACCGGTGTGAGCATGCAGCCCGGATTATCAACGACCTCCTCCAAAGCCTCAGGGTAGGCAGCCTGGGGATGCTGAGTGTGCTGGTGAAAGCCAGCCCTTCTGGGGACATCCAGGGCCAGGCTGACTCCCCAGTTCATCCTCCTCCTCCCTGTCTGACAGAGCGGTCCTGCAGGCCCTCCAGGGGGTCCTGGCATGCCCCCAGGGGGCCGAGGCCGAGGAAGAGGCCAAGGCAACTGGGGGCCTCCTGGCGGGGAGGTGGCCTTCTCCATTCCCACTCACAAGTGCGGGCTAGTCATTGGCCGAGGTGAGTCTGGCCCCCTGTGCCCTGCCCCTGCCCTGGTCCTACCGAAACACCCTTCACTGGCTGTGGCTTTCCACAGGAGGTGAGAATGTGAAAGCCATAAACCAACAGACTGGCGCCTTTGTGGAGATCTCCCGGCAGCTGCCACCCAATGGGGACCCCAACTTTAAACTCTTCATCATCCGGGGCTCCCCCCAACAAATTGACCATGCCAAGCAGCTCATTGAGGAGAAGATTGAGGTGGGCTCCAGGAGGGTATCTGTGATCCTGGGTCCTTGTAGCCCCCTGCCCAGCTTACCTCATGTGCTTCTTCCTCCAGGGTCCCCTTTGCCCAGTTGGACCAGGCCCGGGGGGACCAGGCCCTGCTGGTCCTATGGGACCCTTCAACCCCGGACCCTTCAACCAGGGGCCACCAGGGGCTCCCCCACAGTGAGTACCGTTCAGCTTCTGGGAGTTGGGGTGTGGGTATCCATGTAGGAGGGTAGGCCCTGTTTCTAAGGACTGTAATCTCGTCTCAGGAGGTGGTTGCCAGGTCCAGTGGAGACTGTTTTGATGAACACTCTTAAAACACCAGAATGATTGGCTGTGGTCACATCTGACCCACTTACTCAACAGTGTCATTCTGCATATAAGTTTCATGTTTTGACCCATCAGCACATCTGTTGTTAGTTGTCACATGCTCTGACTAGGCACTTTTTTGAGTCTGGCCCCCTGATCACCTGTAACCATCCCTGTCCCTGCGGTGGACTGCTCTGGCCACTGCACCCCAGCTCACACATCTGTCTCTTGCAGTGCCGGTGGGCCCCCTCCTCACCAGTACCCACCCCAAGGCTGGGGCAATACCTACCCCCAGTGGCAACCACCTGCTCCTCATGACCCAAGTAAGTGAGGGCTGCACAGTGGAGGCTGGGCCAGGCTGGGCTGCTGAGCCCCTCTGCCCCTCCCTCCTCCTCACTGCCATTCTTCTTACAGACAAAGCTGCTGCAGCAGCGGCGGACCCCAATGCCGCCTGGGCTGCCTACTACTCACACTACTACCAGCAGCCCCCAGGCCCTGTGCCAGGCCCTGCCCCAGCCCCTGCAGCCCCTCCGACACAGGGGGAGCCCCCTCAGCCCCCGCCCACAGGCCAGTCAGACTACACCAAGGCCTGGGAAGAGTATTACAAAAAAATTGGTGAGTCTGCAGTGCACAGAGGGGGCCGAGGCCCACCCATGGGGCAACCCTGACCACCTGCCCTGTTCCCGCAGGCCAGCAGCCTCAGCAGCCCGGTGCACCCCCACAGCAGGACTACACGAAAGCCTGGGAGGAGTACTACAAGAAGCAAGGTGAGCAGAGGCCAGGGCCATGGCTGCATGGGGCAGGTGGCTCTCCCCATACTTATTCGCCTCTGTCCTCCACACCCACAGCGCAAGTGGCCACCGGAGGGGGTCCTGGAGCGCCCCCCGGCTCCCAGCCAGACTACAGCGCTGCCTGGGCTGAGTATTACAGACAGCAGGCGGCGTACTACGGACAGACTCCCGGTCCTGGCGGCCCCCAACCGCCTCCCACCCAGCAGGGACAGCAGCAGGCAAGTGGGAATTGCCACCCTCCTCCTCCTCCTTTCTCCTTCCAACCCCCAGCCACCGTCCATCCTGCCTTAGTGGGTAGCGCCGGAAATCCCTTCCCCTGCGGGGTGTGCCCTTGATGCCTGCAGCGGGCGTGTGGCCAGAGTCTCCGGAGCGCCCCGCGCCCGCCCGCCTGCCACCGGGAAGCGCTCGCTGGGTCCAGAGGCTCAAGGAGGAGGCTCCTCGCCAGCCGCTTGTTCCTGTGTAACGCTGTCGTGATGCTGGGGGAGCGCGAACCTCGCAAAGGTGGAACTTGTGAACTGGTGGGTAGTCCTGGGGTGGGGACAGGCAAGCAGCTCCTGTGGTGGTCCGTCCCGGCTGCTAACCTGCTCACTCAGAATCTGGCCACTTGGGAAGAAAACATCTATTTTTCCCTTCTCTGCATCACTTTTTGGTTTTTGTTCTTTTTATTATTTTTTAAAGCCACAATCTTTATCCCCTGTGTCCAAGTGACTGTGTTGCAGGCAGCCCGGCTCTGGCGGGATTGAGAGGAGCCTGGTCCACCTGGCCAGCCTCCACTCGTGCGCTCGCCTCTGTGTCCCGGTCTTGTCTGTGAAGTGGGCATGACGATTGTTGCCACCTTCCAACCTACCTCACAGGGGTGTTGTGGGGACACCATGATCTCTGATTGTTGATGTTGTGATGCGCCGGAGCCCGCCTCCTCCCTCCCCCTTCCTGTGCCTCTCCTCTCCCCCTGTGGCCTCTGCTTCTCTCTGCTGCCTGTCCCTTCTCTCTTCCTCCATGGAGCTGTCTGACTTCAACTGAGTCCCTATGAGACTAGACAGTGACAGTCCTCTGCCTGGGCCAGCACAGGTTTGGGAGGGGCTTCCTGGCCCTCCCTCCCCATGGTGCGGCCTCTCTTCGCCCCTCTGCCCCTCCCCGTAGTGACCAATTCCTATCTCTTCCCTTTCCGCAGGCTCAATGAATCGAATGAATGTGAACTTCTTCATCTGTGAAAAATCTTTATTTTTTTTCTCCATTTTGTTCTGTTTGGGGGCTTTTTTTTTGTTTTGTTTTTTACTTGGTTTGTTTGGTGAGAGAGCGATGGCCACCTGGGGTGCCAGGGAGCCCTCGCAGTGAGGGCCTGGGGCTCTCGCTCTCTAGCTCACTCTGTGTCTTGCATCCTTTTCCTTTTAAAATTGGGATTCTTCATGTTGAGCCAGCCTTAGAAAATAGCGAGAATTAAATCTCTGCCAAAAAAAAAATTTAAAGATTAAAAACACAAAGAGCAGAACAAAACCTATAAAATGATATATATATATAAATCTCTATCCCCCAGCCTTCCCAGAACGCCTCTGCTGAGGGTTATGCGATTCGTTTTCTCCCTCCTGCCCATGGCCCTCTTGTTTTTAAAATAAACTTTTAAAAAGAAAAAAAAAAGTCACTCTTGCTATTTCTTTTTTGGTTTTTTAGTTAGAGTTGGAACATTCCTTGGACCAGGTGTTGGTACTGCAGGTCCCTTCCGCCCCACCTATCTCTCCTCCTCTCCTCCCTAGCTCTGCCCTGCGCCCGCCCAGGATTGGTCTAGTCTGTTGTCTTTTCATCTGTTTAAGAGGAGATAACGAAGAACAAAACAAATTGTATGGCAGTTTTTACTTTTTATCGCTCGTTTTTAACTTCACAAATAAATGATAACAAAACCTCCCCGTGTCTGCCGGGTGCTGTCTGTCTGTCTGTCTGTTTCCCTCCCTGTAGTTTGGAAGCAGATGTTTGTTCTTCATAGATGTTGTAAAAAAGAGGAAAAAAAAACAAAAACAAAAAAACCCTGATGATGGTGATTGGAAACTATAATAAACTTTGTGGTTTTTTTTTTTTTTTTTTTTTTTTTTGAACAGAAAATATAGGAGAAAATAGTTTTCTGCAGGCACATTGTGCTTTCTTAACCCTATCCCCCCTTTTTTTGGTTAAATAAAGTGCTTTTTGTTTAATAAAGAAACTGCGTGCTGGGCAGTTGTGTTTTAATTTGTGGTATAGGGTTGTGGTCCCCTAAGCCTGCCCTCCAGGTATGGAGAGGGGACATCATCTAAGCCCTGGAAGAGCTGTCTCTTCACCCATTTGTTTCTCTGGAAACTTGGAGCTCCAGGCACCCAGGAGGGTCCCTAGGGCGGGGTGTTCCCATGGATGCATGACAGCTGCCTCTCGGGAGCACCTGGCTCCAGCCTGTGTTGCCAAGGTTCGAAATCAGAGCTGTGCTGAGTGAAGTGACTGGGTGGGAGGTGGGACCCTGAGGGCTGTCCATTGTAAGGTGGACAGCAGGAGAGGGGCTCTGGGGTGGTTGGGTGCCACCTTGTTAAAAGTTGGGGCCCAGGTCCTAGATGGGCCAGCCAGACAGCACCCAGCAGGAAGCAGTAACAGCTGCAGCCTCTAGATGGGGCCAGGTGTCGGGTACCTGTCTGGCCTTAGGAACCTGGGCCCTGCAGAAGTCTCACCTCACAGGTACCTCGCCCTCCAGGGTCCCGTGCAGTTCTGGGGAGAGGGTGAGGCAGGGCCATAGCCCCTTCCGGCTCACTGCAGACTCTCGATGACAGAGCAGCACTTGGCAAAAATGTTCTCTGGAGCTTCTTCTGCCAAGATCTAGAGAAGGGGGAGCACCTCAGAGACATCCCGACCCAGACAAGCCCTGGATACCAGCAGGTTCACAAGGGCCAGGGCCAACCAAGCCAGGAAGGGGGGACAAGCAGGGGTCTGAAATGTCAGTGGGGGATGACCTTGTACCACCCATCCAGGAGGGAGGAGAAGGCAGGTCTCAGGTACTTAAACAGGCGCTAGCTAGGCCACCCCAGAGTCCCTTCACTTCCCTACATGTGTAGACAGGTGCCCGCAAACAATATGCACTCCCTGTGGGCAACACTGGGTTCCCATCCTATGAGATTTGCATATGCTGGAGTCCATTGTGCTGCTTAAGACAAAGCTCTTCAGCCTGTGCTGCCCAATGCAGCACACAGGGTCTCCAGGCGTGCATGCTGGGGAAACCGGGGCCGGCCTCTGCAGACCTCATACTGGTAAAGCTGGCCTTGCCCCCTGGCCCCTCAGCAAAGGGGTGGCACCTACGCTTCGCAGCAGGTTCCTCTGCTGGTAGAAGGTCAAGACCGGCTCACACAAGGTATAGTGTGTTTCCAGGCGCTGGCGAATGGCTGGTTCCGAGTCATCGGCCCGGTGCTCCACGTGGCCCCGGTGCAGTGCCCGCTGCATCCATGGTCTTCATGGAGCAGTCAAAAACGATGACAATGTTGGGGGCCCGGCCCACCTGGCACCGACCAAGGGGACTGGGTCAGGGGGGCCTGCACCTGCTCCAAAGCCTCCTACTCTTTTCTAGTTCAAGTTCTCTGTATTTATTTTCTGGAGAGGTATGCTTCACAGCTTCTAAGGCAAACCGCACAAAGGAAGAAAAGAGCCAAGTATCTCCTGCTGTTCCCAGCCATTCAATGTCACCCTACCTGGAGGCAGCTGAGTCACCTGCTGCTTGGACCACCTCCTTGAGCTATTTTACTTACTGTGTTGGTTTTTTTTTTTTTTTTTTTTTTTTACGATACTGCAGTTTGAACTCAGGGCCTTGAACCACTCCAGCAGCCCTTTTTTTATTATGGGTTTTTCAAGACAGAGTCTTATGAACTATTTGCCAGGGCTGGCTTTGAATCTCAATCCTCCTGATCTCTGCCTCCTGAGTAGCTAGAATTACAGGCATGAACCACTGATGCCCGGCTACTTATTTATTTGTTATGTGGGGTTTTGTTTTGTTGGCACTGGAATTTGAACTCAGGGCCTTGTGCTCTCCCTCCAGCCATGCACCCAGCCCTTTCACAGACTTTAAATCACTTCTCTAGATGACTTACAATAGCAGATACAAGGTCAAGGATATGAAAATAGCTGTTACACTGTGTTTAGGACATAATGACAAGAAAAAACCTGTGTCTGTTCAGTACAGATGCAGGTTCTTTTCCCAATACTTTGTATCTAAGATTGATTGAACTCTTGTATTTTGCTTGTTTGTTTTGGCAGTACTGGGGTTTGAACTCCGGGCCTCAACATTTGCTAGGCAGGTGCTCTACCACTTGAGCCACTCCACCAGCCCCCTAGCTCTATTCTTGCCTGGCTAGTGAGGTGTGAAAGGATTCACTATGACCAGGTGATGAAAGAAAGTGATTCAAGAAAGCAGAGTGAGCCAGACGCTTGTGGCTCACATCTGTAATCCCAGCTACTCAGGAACTGGATATCTGGAGGCTTCCCGGGCAAAAAGTCCCCAGGACCCCATCTCAATAACGGCTTGGCAGAGTGGCCCACACGTGTCATCCCAGCTACAGGGGAAGTGCAAATAGGAGGATCATGGTCCGAGCTGGCCTGGGCATAAAGCAAAATCTTATCTCAAAAACAACCAGCGCAAACATGGCTGGGTGTGGCTCACGTCGCAGATTGCCACCTAGCAACCACAAGGCCCTGAATTCAAACACCCAGTACAGACGGAGGGAGGAAAGGAGGAAGGGAGGAAGGAAGGAAGGAAGGAAGGAAATCTTAAGACTCTAGAGGGGAAAAGCCAATAACCCCATTAGGAAAAAAAAAAGTAAAATGTACAAAGAAGTAATTCGCAGAAAAATAAATGAAAATGGCCCTTAAACTTTGAAAGAATGCTAACATTCAGTCAGAGTAATGCCTAATAAAACAGCACTGAAATACCACTTCCACTTAAACAGGATAACAAGCATCCAAGAGGTGGGTAGCACCCTCTGTCCATGTGGCTGTGAGGACTTGAGCACACTGACAAATGGTGAAGTATGAAGAGGAATTTAGACATTTCCAGTAAAATGATCTGTGCGCATCTCTTTAACCTACAATTCCACTCTAAGAATCTATTTTGAGGACACTAGCAAGAAACAGGAAATGACATGCACAGGTTGTACCAGCAAAGCTGGACAACTTAATATCCACGTGTGATCAATTAAGTTTACGATGGTGGGTAACACAATGGAAGACTAAAGATACAAAAAAGAACACACAAAAAGAAAAATAAAAAACAAAAACAACACAGAACTCTCTCTCTCTCTCTCTCTCTCTGTCTCTCTGTCTCTCTTGCTCTCGCTCTCGATCTCGCTCTCGCTTTCTGAGTCTCCTTATGTAGCCCAGGCTAGCCTGGAACTCGAAATTCTCCTGCCTCCGCCTCCCCAATGCTGGGACCCTGTCTCCAAATGTAATATTTTGGGGCGTCCAGGGGACTCTTTATCAGGAATTTTGAAACCAATTTGGCTAACAATAGACTCCT